AAAAAATAAAAAATAAAATAAAAAAAAAAAAAAAAAAAAGAGTTGGACCACAATCAACCGACTGAGCCACCCAAGCACCCTAGCATAAATCTTAAAGTGTCTGTTTTAGAAATTATTGTTATAGTCAACTGTGAAATTACATTTCATCTTTAAAATTAAAAAATAAAAACGGGAAATAATCTGTTAGGTGACAAATTCTATCACTTACAACTGTCTGATTTCAATGACTCTAGTTGCAAAATATTCCAATCTGCCTTGAAGCATTTGAAAGGTAGTGCTCTGTAACCCCAACAGGGGGGGTCTTTCAAAAATAAATTTGACTTCAGTGGTATTTCTGAATAGAAGAATCCTTCTAAAGAGCAGAGACATCATGGTTGGTCCCTTCATTCCTCTCTCCACAGTGGCACATTTAGACATTTGCCACCAACGGAGTAGAGGTTACTGGTAGGAATGTGTAATCACTTTGTTACCTGCTCTCCTAGCTTTAAATCACAGAAGCAAATAAATGGATAAAAGGGTCAACTTCTTCTGAAACTAGTTCCAATGGCTACTAGTTAAACTCTGCTACAAAAGATGTGGTGTATTTTTATAGTTGAAACTTCCTAACATGGTCTTTATTCAAGAATTTAGATGAATACTGGTCTCCAAAAATAAAAGTACTGAGGAGATATTATCACTGGTTCCAAAACAGAAGTCTTGTGAGTGATTTTATATCATTTTCCTATCACCTTTGGTTTGTGGCTTGGTTCATTTTAAATTACTGATAATAATTGTGTTATATTTTTAAATAATTACATCTAAAAATAGTTTAGACTGGAGTGCCCGGTTACTAAACACTGCATGCAGTGACGGGCAGCCGTTGAACGGATATGGCCTGAGGGCCAGCAGGTTTCTCCCAGCCTGTTTGGTTCTTGGTGTACACGTTACAGAGGGAACCTTGTCCCTGACCCTACACGAAGCCTGCCGTCCAACAGGGAAGAACAGCAGGAAAAATATGAGACAGAAATTTACTTCATCCATTTTTTAAAGTATTTTGGAGGCCAGTTTTGTGGGAGGATTCAATAGTCTAAACAGAAAGGAAAGAAGTTTTTGCTTCCTTTGTAGGAAAATTTGAGTAAAGGCCAAAGCTTTGGGCAGAAATACATTTATTAATAGCCCCTGAACCTTTGCTTGTGACCAGCAACATGTGAGAACCTGAGGGTGCAGACCTGATCTCCAGAAGCTCACAGTTTAACGGGAAAGAGATATGCGAAAACAGAGCCAAGTTGAGAATGCTGAGTTGCCCCTGGTTAGAATGAGGTTAATTCCATGGGGTGGGTCCCCCAAAGCTTTCACACACGATGTCTGAGCACCTGTTCTATACCAGACACTGTCCTGGACATTGGAGATAAAACACAAGCCACAGTCTTGGCTGCAGGAGGATGAGACTGTGTGTTTGTATGTATGTGTGGAGGTTGGGGAGAGGATGAAGCCATGCATTTCATCTGGGACATGTTGGTTCTGATGGGCCTTTGGCGCATCCAGGGGTAGGTTGCCAGGTAGGCAGTCTGATGTGGGAGTCTAGAGCTTAGGGGAGAGACTTGAGCAGGAAGCCAGCCATGAACAGGATCTTTGAGGCCATGAACACAAGAACACATGTGATCTCCCTGAGAGGGAAGACCACCCAGGACCAAGCTTAGAACAAGACAGAGTTGGAAAGGAGGAACCAGCACCAACCTGTCTAAAGCACCAGAATTAGGGAGTAGAAGCAGAGATTGACACATGTGTGTTTGTGTATTCATTATTATTAGACTTTTCTGTCATGTTCTTTTCAAGGCCTTTGCTCACATAAGCTTTGTCTCATTGGAAGTGATCAGGCATGAAAAGAACATGAAATAGAGGAGATTTTTTTTAATCTGATTTCATGTGTCAGTGTTCTCGAGTAACCTGTGGCATACTTCTTCCCAAACAGAGTAACTTCCTCCATCACTGCTTGACAACTAGACTGTTAGTGCTGCTTTTTTCCTTCTCTCTGATCTTAGTAGTACGTTATCCGCCCAGGAGAGCTATAGTTGGGATTGATTCATGGCAGGGAATTGGGGGCTGGCTTAAGTGTAATGTTGAGCGCTGATGCCTCACTAAATCACGTAGATGTCTGTTCTGCTGTCTGGTATCTGTTCTTCTCTCAAATGGAAAAATGTGAGCATTACTCAAAAGATCCTTCAATGCAGAGGCATTTCCTCCCTCCCTTCACAGATACTTACTACCATGTGACATCTACTCTGACAGGCCCTGGGGAGATAGTGAGCAGAGCACATACAGGCCATGCCCTGAAAAGCTTACAGTCTAGCCTGGGAGTCAGACAGAAATCAAATATTGCACAGAAAGGTATGAAAACTGATGACTGTACCAGTGACAGACTAGGGCAATGTGAACCTCTAACAGGAGGGGGTGGGAACATGTCTGGGATTGATACATATCAAGTCTGGGTACTTGTGAAGAATAACTGTTGGCTGTGACCTGCTCATGAGCTACTTTATTAGAAACAGAAGGCATACATGGTCACATAACCCCTTCACCCAACACCAAGACATGGTTGCTCTTCAAAACATACCTGAGCAAATTAAGGAGAATGTGGGAAGGGGGACAAAAACAGCCTGCTTCCTGGGGACATCACCCATGACAGTGGCCTTATAGAGAAGTTCCTGCACATCTTTTGAAACATATAAATTGTACATCTCAGTTAAAGTTACAGGAAGTCATATTCCATATTTATCACCATTGAAAACTGCCTGCCAAGTGCATTCAGCAGGTGCCTCTTTCAGGGCTTTAGCAGGTCTGGCCGCCCCTAATGTCTTTTTTTTTTTTTTTTTTAACTTTTTTTAATGTTTATTTTTTTATTTTTTGGAGAGAGAGGGTGAGCAGGGGAGGGTCAGAGAGAGAGGGAGACACAGACTCTGAAACGGGCTCCAGGCTCTGAGCTGGCAGTCAGCACAGAGCCCGATGCGGGGCTCGAGCCCACGAACCGCGAGATCATGACCCAAGCGAAAGTCGGACGCTTAACCGACTAAGCCACCCAGGCGCCCCTGGCCACCCCCAATGTCTTGATCGCTGTGCCAGTGCCGCATGAGGTCTGTGCAGACATGCCAACAGAGACTGGTTTTCTCCATTGCTAGACAAAAATTCCACTTCTTCTAAAATGTTTTATTGTATTCCTAGTAGTTTGTGTGTGTTTTCTTTAAGCCCAGTGCAGTAATAGATTCCTTATTGCCCCTGGAGAAAACTGTTTTAGCCTTTTTTTTAGCTTTCAGTCATTAAAATGTAGACATGTTTAAAGGAATTTTTTTTAATGTTTGTTTATTTTTGAGAGAGTGTGAGCTGGGGAGGGACAGAGAAAGGGGGGCAGGGGATCCAAAATGAGCTCCACGCAGATAGCAGCAAGCTTGATGTGGGGCTCGAACTCACAAACAGTAAGATCATGACCTGAGCCAAAGTCAGATGCTCAACCGACTGAGCCACCTAGGCGCTCCTAAAGGAATGTTTGATAGACGGTTGATTTATTCTAAAACAGCTCTGTAAATTCTGTGAGCTTTTTACTACTTAAATGAAATATATCTTCCCTTGCAATTAATCTATCTTAATCGTCAGGATTTATGTCCTAAGAATGCCTTTGGACAGTCACTGACTTTATTTAATAGTAAATACTATTAAGTGCCCTCTGTACCCAAAGATGTTAGGTGCCAGGGAGACAGCTGTGGACAGTCTTTGCTCCCAAGGAGCTTAATGTCAAAATCTTTATAGCAAAAGGAGGCAAGGACCTAACACTCACTAAATAACTTTCCCTCTGTGTAAATCCTAGTCTTTCCAGTAAGAGAGCCTGGTGGCTTGATCACTTAATGGCCTTGTCAACTGATGTGACCTCTCAGGTGGTTTCTGCACCTGCAAGATGGAAAGACTTGTCATGCTTCTCCTGACAGTTGCTGATGGATACAGGGATCTCATTAAACACAAAAGATACAAAGTTTTAAATGCCAATAGATGGCAGACACTAGCACCACACAAGGCAGAAGAGAACATGGTGACTCCCCTGTGGAGGTCCTGCTTTCCATGGGACCATCCAGCTAGAAGACACAGCTCATGTCAGAGGACTTCTGGCAGCTGTGAGATTTCTCTGCTGCTCTGATGGAGGGGGCCAACCTCTCCTCTGCCCTGCCTGTGCGTCAGCTCTGCCCATGCACTTGCCTGTACCCCCAGGACGTTCCTGCGTGTGTGCTCCAGGCCAGATGAAGTGAGGGTGTCAGGTCCCTCAGAGTTCTGTATCAACAGTGCTGATACTTAACTCACAGGATTACTTTGACAATACATGAAGCAAAGCTCTTAGTATAGTGCTTAGCACAACGTAAGCACTCAGTGAATGTGTTAATACTGTTAATACATTATAACATTAATTATTAATACAGTAAGAACTATTCTTCTTAGTTCAATAAAACATTAGACAAACTATTTCAGGAACATCTTTTCCAAATGTGGTTAGATAACGTGCTTATATAACCAAATATATTTTCTCTTTGGTCAAACATACACCTAAAGTTTTTCTTCTAAATTTGAAAAATTCTTACCAGACCTCCACTGCTGCTTTTTTTTGTTGAAGAAAAATAAATATTTTCCTCTTCTCAACCTTCCTTCTCCAACCAAAAAAATGTAACATGCAAACAAAAACAGTGAGCACAAAGTGAGACAGTGATTTTGTTGGTGTTACTTGTAAATATACATACAGCATAACACATGTCTTTATTTTGCCATTAGTCAGATTTCAGTATTAGAGGACTAGAATGCTTGCAGATGAATAGCCAGCTAAGTTTCTGGTACTTAATGCTTTGTGTACTCCCTCAGCTACTTAACTGCTCTGGTTTTTTAGTCCTGAATATATTTGTCCAGCTTAACAAGTTTAAGTGACGAGTTTTGCCAGAAACTGCAGTCCTTTCTCCTGGTCCGTCAAAGGTTCTGGTCCTTGGTTGCAGGTGCTGTTTGGCACGGCCGACGGGCAGGTGATCGTCATGGACTGCCACGGCAGGATGCTGGCCCATGTGCTCCTGCACGAGTCCGATGGCATCCTCAGCATGTCCTGGAACTGCCCCGCCTTCCTGGTGGAGGACAGCAGCGAGAGCGACACAGACTCAGACGACTATTCCCCGCCCCAAGGTAGGAAGCCAGAGGAGGGGGCGAAGGTCCACCATGGGCACTCACCGGAAAGAGCTCCGGCGAAGCACAAGGCAGGGCGGCCTGATGCCTGGTTTCGGTTCCGCCGTCTTCCCTGTGCCTTCCCTTTTCTCAGAATCACCGTGCAGCTGATGAAGCTCCATTGGCTTAGGTTTCACTAGACTGAAATGACCCTTGTCATGTCCCTAGGGTGTTGTGGGGCTTAGCTGCTTAGCAAGAATAAAGAGAGCTGGAGATGAGAAATGCTGTGCTATTACTATAACTTAATCTGTGGTGTTCCAAATCCCTAATGTCATTAAAGCCCGTAGCTTTAGTTGTGTGAGAAAAGGATTAGTTCTGCCTGTAATGCAGGCCAGTACACTGGGTTGCCATTCATGCCCCTGTCTGTGTTTGGGGGGGAAACTTCTTTTCTCAGTTCAGAAGAACCTGTCTTCCCCTGTAAGCCTCACCACAATGTCGGTTTAGATGGATTGGCATCTTGTTTCTTAATATTTGGACTGGGAAGGAAAGGTGTCAGACTCTTGGTGGGGATAATTTCAGACTCCAGGCTCCTTCACCTTTGCAGTGTGTTTTATCTCTCAAATGTATAAGAGACACACCCCCCACATACATGCACAAAAAGCAGAAACCTCTGATGTTCATGCTGGCCTTCGCCAACAGCAGCATTCGGCATTGGCCTGCTCAGGACTGTGGCACTTCCCAGTACTCCGTTCTTCTTCCTCTCCTCCTCCCCCTCCTCCTCTTCTACTCTCCTCCTCCTCCTCCTCCTCCTCCTTTTTTTTAAAGGAAAAATGCATTGTGCTGTAGTGGGAGATCCGGCTCGGGCATACCGCTGCAGGGCTTCTGTCCTCGTGCTGGTCCCTTCTCCTGTGACTGTGGCACGTTCATCCTATGAAGAGCTGGTCCAGGGAATAGATTTTTAACTCTGTCTCCCATTGGCATCTACCCCCATTGGTACTTGGAGTGCCCTCATTTCATCATCTTCTGTCCCAGACATGATATATAATACGTGGTGCTTCCCAGAGACACCCACACATTCATTCAGTCATTTGTTTAAGGAGAAGACCATGTTTTCACATGAAAGAACCTTTAGATCTGTTGGGAGGGAGTGTTTCAGGATGCATGGGAATCGGGGAGGGAGAGTGTACTTCCATTTGAGACATAAACATACCCTTTCCTAGTAGGGCCCCAACCTTGAGTGAAGTGTCAACCATTTCTCCAGCCTCATAGTAATAAAGTTAGTATCATACAAGGTTGGATTCTTGCCAGCATACTTTTAAAACAACTTTATTAGATCGAATGTAGGTTTACTTAGCCCCATGTATTATGGGGAAAAAACAAGATCTAGAGACCAAGTTATAAAGCAGGTTCAGAATGAGTCCAAAGATAGAATTTAGACCCTGGCTGCTACTCGAACACATTTCCCTTCTCAGAGCCATGGGGCAGTTTGGAGGGTGACTGGGATTTGCCTTTCACATACAGCTGGGTTTTTCTTGGTGGCCTGGGGGATTTGAGCACAGAGGTAAGTACATACAGCATCTTAAGGTGAAGCAAAGGAAGGTAATACCTGAGGATCCTCCACAGGCAGGGCCAAGGTGGGGGTGAGCATGCGGATGTCAGGCCAGCCCACTCTGAATGGGTCCCAGGGATGAGCTCAGCATGGGTGTGAGGCCTGCGGGGGGCCTTCTGAAAGAGCCCTGATTTATCCTGGCCTGTGGGAAGGACTGACTTTTACTTTTAAAACAGCATGTGGAAGGATCCAGAACATGACCCATCACAGCTCTTCCTTAGCCTCCATGAGTACTCCTTGTACTTACAAAGTAGAATTTTCTTTATACTGGCCGTGCACTGCAGATGTCGCAGAACTGTTTATGAGCGCCAGCCAACCTTGGCTTTCTCTCCAGGTTTGGAGTCTCTTGTGGTAAAAAGTTACTCATCATGGCTGCTGTGGCTTCCTATTTCCTATAATGTTCCATGAAAGGGCATTAGTGTTAGAAAACAACTTCTCTGTACATTGGACCAAGATTAAGAAATTGTTTCAATCCCTCTTTCCACCGTCCTTACACGTTATGTGATGTTAAAATAATTTGTTTACACACCATTAGAAACATGATGCATTAACACACGAGTTACTAATCTTCACACATGTTCTCATCACCAAACAGCAGAGCCCCAGGTGCCCCACCTGGTGCCTCCAGGGCCATCTGTCCCCGCCCGGCTTCTGATTCCAGGGTCCCTGGTGCCTTCCTCCTGACGGCCCCGTGTAGCCCCTCAGTGCTGCGTGCAGGGTTGCTCTACTCCGTGGCGTCACTGTCCAGAGTCCAGTCTGCAGCATCAGGCGTTGTTAAGGCCTCTGCCAGGCTGCACCAGGGGGCCTAGCTCTGGGTCACGTGGGCCTTGCCTTCGTTTCACTCAGCACTTTTGTCCCCGCAGATGGTCCAGCCGCGTGTCCCGTCCCGGTGCAGAACATCAAGCCGTTGCTCACTGTCAGCTTCACCTCGGGCGACATCAGCTTAATGAACAACTACGATGACTTGTCTCCTACTGTCATCCGCTCAGGGCTGAGAGGTACAGAAGGCTGCATGTGACCCCAGGCCCACACATCGTCCCTGTGCGCATCTGCCTTCCGGTGGGTGTCCCGCACCCAGCACTTAGCCACTGCCGCCCGTCTGCGGCCTTAACGGAGCCTGTTAGTGAGGGCCTTTTCCTTTTGCTCCTCTGCTCATCGGACAGTCCGTTACTGAGGCTTATGCTGAGGAGGGATCCCTGACGGTCTTTGCCTTTCTGTTCTTTTCCTCCTGCAACAAGAGTGAGCCCTCGGGCGTATGCGTTTGCCTCCGGCTAACGTGATATGCTGTCTGTACAGTGTTGGACCTCGGCACCTGCCGTTCCAGGGGCAGCAGACCGGCACAGCTGTTTCACAGAGGCCCCTGTTACTTTGAGGCTTATTAAGAAACCAGTGGTTGTGCGGCAAAGTTCTCACAGCTGCCAGACTGAGGCAGTGATGTAAACAGCAGCCGCCAAATGCTGACTTTCCTGACGGGTGTTATGAAATCTGTTATCTCACAAGAAAATCACTGTCCCTAGGCATCTGGCATATTCCAGATTTTGCAGTTCAAGAATATTTACTCACCTTGTGACCCTGATGAGATCTTTGGAAAAACAGTTCTGTCTCTTCAGGATTCAATGGTAGGGTGTAGAAGTCCCTGAATTGCCTCTGGTCTCAAAGTTGAAGGGACCTACTGTAATCTGAGTGGAAGATCAGGGGCAAACCAGAACCTGCAGTTCAAGTTACGACTGTCGCTCAGAACTGGCCTCAGAGAGTCGTGCCCTGTGCTTCCTGTCTGAGTTACTCGGGAAGTGCCAGGATGATATGGAAACTCAAGGCTGTGTACTTAACATCGTACGTGTCCACATGCCCCCAAGCACTTCTTAATTCCGTTTTAAAACTAGAGAATATTTTTACAAGTTCTCCTTTTTGTGGGTGTCCCATTTTGCTGTTTCAAAACTATAATTGTGAGGAATTATTTATCCTATAAACTCCTGAGGGACATGAACTATGTAGAAGTCCCTCTTTATACCACAAATAGGCTCCTTTAGAAGCTGAGTAAGAATTTCGTCTGTGTGATAATGATGATTTTTGATGATGATGATGATGATGAAGATGAACCTACATTCCTTGGGCTTTTCTGGAAATTCTTTTCTGAATGTTCTGACCTTTGTGGAGCTAAAGTGCAGGGATGGTCATCAAAAATTCTCACAAATATTCAGTAATCCGAGCTCTTCTTTTCTTCTTCAGAAATTCTATTTTTAAACCTTTAACCAAGGTTATTAATTCCTCAGAACCTGCCTCAAGTCCTGGAGTCCTGAACCTTGTTCTCTGCCAAGTATCTGATTAGCACTGAAAATAATGTACTTTACCACTCAGTCCCCTTCTATTTTTCATATGGCCGATTTTTCTGATTCTTTGCCATCTTGCTTACCTATGGACACTTTTTTATTCCTTGAAGGTATTGTTTTGTTTTCTCTGTCAAGCTAGATTGTCCTGGAGCAGCACTTCTGACACACCCCCCACCAAGCCTGTGGGGGGAGATGAGGAACACATCTGAGGTGGCTTGTGAGGGTGACCCCAGGTGGCCCTCCCAGGTGTGAAAGTTTTTGACTTGAGTTTCATCCTAAAGATACAGGCAAATTTAGCAGTCTTTCCATTGCCTGACTAGAAATCTAAATCTAAATCCTTCACACTTTCATGGGGGGACATGCTTTTGCACGGAGTCTTCTTAATTACAGGCAGTTAGATGAAATGTAGGTGAGCTGATGTCATCTGATAGGTGCTGGATACAGGCAGTTTCTCTTTCTGTCTTGGTTTCAGAACATTATGAGGACTCAGGCTTACATGTGCTGTCAACAGCAGCAGGGTTGGTTGTTTGTTTTTTTTTTAATTTATTTGTTTTTTGTCCACGACTTCGTGGGGGTAATACTAAGAAGAGATCACCAGAATCTGCCAAGGTGGCATGTGGCAACTTGCACCGTCCACAGTAATCTGTCCAGTGGTGGACAGGTCGGTCACTCGTCACATAAAGTGAACTGAAATGGGTTAGCCTTTCTCTGTTACTGAAGAAACAGGACTCACGATATTTCCTGCTTTATCACCAATGTTGTAATTTATGTCATTGCCACAGAACACAGAATGGCAAATAGTTGACGGTCCCTGTGATCACCCTCTTCTCCACCACCTGTTACACCATTTTCATTGCAGATTCATAGGGTGGTGGGTGATCTTGCTTTGCAGGTGTTTGCTGAGGAGATTCTGCCTCGAAGAAGAGTGTGCTAAGTATCCCAAATATGGGGACTTCTCTTTATCACATAGTGAACCACAAATTAGTTCAACTTATTTAGAGTTTTTACCTTTTGTAGTTACTATACTTTTTATTGAGAATGTAGGGGAAGAAAGACCATTTCCCCCTACAGATCTTAGGTTTTCCGGCGGGACCCTGCAAATTACACGGACAGAAGACGGGTTGACACGAGAAACAGAAACAAGCTTATTAACACGTGCACTGCATTTAGCTGCAGAAGCTTTCAGAGACGAGTAACTCAAATGCCTGGGTAGAACTTGGGCTTATACTGCATGTTAACAAAAGAACAGTACATTTTTGGAGAAGTGACACGACAAAGGGAAAGGACTTAGTGTTTCTAGGGCAGCAGATAGTGGGAAGGTAAACAGGGAGGACTAATGGAGATAAGGACCAGTTCCTAAAGTTTGTCATATAAACTTCTGGAGCTGTCAGTGGGCCGATAAGGGTCTAGAGTTGTCTCCAGTGATTAACTTCTGTCCTTCCTGGCGGGGGGCAGGGTGGGGGAGTGCCTTCACAGATACACACCCTGCTTTTAGGCAAACGGGGAAGGAGAGAGCTTTTTTGTATTCACTGTTTCTCAGTTGCCTTCAGCCCAGAATAGTTTTTATGAGCCAGTGTGGCGTATTTTGAGGTAGCATATTCTGTTACCCTTCAAGGGAAAACAGTTCATTGAGGAGCTCAGAAACCCTTTGACCACTATAGCCACTTCATATCTTGCAGTAAAGCAAGCTCTCAAAGGCACTACTCGTTTCACCCACATTTGTCTTAAAATCAAAGAATTTATTAAACTCCTAGAGTTTGTTTCTTTGTTTTACAGAATTTCCTCTATCATTTCACTGCACACTGTTAAAAGTCAAGAGCCAGTTTTGAAGCAGGGTAGTTTCAGTTGGTAGTACTCTCTACTCCTTAGTCTGTGCTGCCAGAGGCTGTATGCCTCTTCCTCACTGAATACACCCTGGTGGTGCTCCATCCTCTGTATGCTCACCAGAAGCACTGTTATTAAAGAAAAAAAGCACATGTTATTTTACCATCACACACTTTTCCAACTTAATTTGTTTCTCCTTTGTGCACATGCTCATTTTCTCTCTCGACACAAAATCCATGTGTCCACACATAAGTACATATGGGTCTAATGACTAATAAAAAGACGAGTCATTAACGTGGACATCCAAGAGACCGAGGCCACTGTGAACCTCAGGCTTCCAACCAGCAGCTCGAGTGCACGTGGTGTTTGGTAAGAGCGCTGTTCTTTCTCGGACACTTGGCTGCCTGTATTTGACCCAGCACTAACACCACACAGGGGGCTCTTATTAATGTACGAGGGCCAAATTTTCTTATTGCTCACTACTAGTAAAATTTTGACCCTCCCTGGCTTTTACCAGAAAAGATCCATAAGATTTTCTATGGATTTGTCTATTCTAAAGTAGAATTGTGTGACTCTGCTAATTTTTTTGTGTGTAAAAATCCACAGACACTTCAAAGTCATCAAGAACAGGGCACCTGGCCGGCTCAGCCAGTAGAACATATGACTCATGATATTGGGGTCATGGGTTTGAGCCCCATGTTCAGCACAGAGATTACTTTTAAAAAATCAAGGGAAATCAGTGCTTTAGGGAGATGGGCGTCTTTTGTGCTGTGGAACTCCTCACATCCCTAGAGCCTGTGCAAGAGCTTCAGGAGTAATAAGAGGCTTACTGAATAAAGCATTACTTTGTTCCTCCTGGCTTATATTTTGACACAGATTTTTAGAAGCTTAGAAACTATGACATTATTACTAAAAGATCAGGCAAAGGCATCAAGGATTATTCTCTATTCTAACATTAACTTATAAGAACTTTCTGGGACAGGGAAGGATCAGCCCTGACCACATCTAGGCTTCTGTTTCCTTCTTTATGATCGTGAAATCTAGAAAGTGAATAAATATATGATTTTTCTCTGATTCTGTAGTCATCTATGAGAATTGTAGTCGCCCCCGCCCCCGCCCGGGAATTCAGGCCCCGTGGAGGTACTCACACAGCCCTGGTTGCCACTGAACAGTCTGTGGTTTTTCTTTCTTACTCCCACTCCCAAATTCCTTGTGACGGGGTTTTCTGAGGTAAGCTGGCCTCCCCGGGTGACCGCGTGCGGGTCGTGTGCATCAGGACTGGCTTACGCCCTTGATGCTGCTGGTTGTATAATCATCGGAACAGGAAGTGGCCTCACTACTACAGAACTTGTTCTGTTTTAAAGAATGACTCGGCTGTGGAGGCCACAGCTGTCTCAGTGTGACTTGGTAGCTGCACTAAAGAGGGGTCCCCAGGCGTCTGCCTGTGGCCACATGGACTCGTGCTCACCTCGGGCCCGGCACCCGTGTGGGGACAGAGCCTCTAGTCTCTGAGCAGCATCTGAGTGGACTGTGCGTCTGCGCCAGCCCTGCAGGGACAGCAGCCCAACGGCAGCGCACTTTTCTGAGTGGTGGGTTCAAAGAATCTTACTAAAATAAGAGCAAGGAGAATAGTGTGGGTATTTATTTCACTCACCACCTGAGCAGAGTGAGCTGGCGGCGCAGTGTCAGAATTGGGTGCTGTCCTCTTCGTTTCTGCAGCTGCAGGGACACTGCCGTCCTAAACAACTGCAGACTCTGCTTTTGTCACCTTTACCTGTCAGCATCCGTGACTCATCCTCTTGACTTCCCTGCATTGCCAAAACTGTCATCTGGAGAAGGTCATTTCAGTTTCATTGTCGCCACCAGCTTCTCACCAGAGCACCTGACCCTTCGGATACCCGAGCACACTGAAACACATGCACAAAACCCTTGAGCCTCCCTTCTCTCATCTTTTCTTAGGTCTTACTACCAGGATATTTGGTCGATATTTTTCATTTCCTGGTTTGTACTTGTCCTCATTCATATCCTTTTATAAGAAAAAAGGGAAAAAACTCCCTTTATTGAGGCTTTCACTGACTCAGATTGTAGAGATTTTTCATTTTGTGTGTGTGTGTGTGTGTGTATAGCTGCATTCCCTCAGCCATCTGCTGCCTCGTCTCTAGTTCCTGTCAGTGGCTCGCTTGATGGGCTGGCTCTTGCTTCCCCAGGTCCAGAGAGCCATCTTGTCCTGGGACCACAGTCTGGTCTTCAAAGGAAGTCACGGAGAAGTGGTGACCTCAAGGAGCTGTTACTAACATCAGAATGGGCATGTGCGTGAATAAGAGCAAGATGCTGTAATGGCACGTGACCTGATGGAGCCCAGGCCCTGCCGGCTTCTGGACCTGGCTCTGAAATGCATCCTGTCGTGACAGAGCACCTTCAGCTCCATCCAGCCTCTCTCAGAAAGGCCTCTGAGATCCGGATGCCAGCGATGTCTGTTATGAGCCAGATAGTGTTCTGGAGCCTTGATGGAGAAGAACTGTGCTATGAATCTTATTAGTACTGTTAGCTTGTTTTACCAGCCAGAATAAGTAAATTGCCACGTTTGGATTTGACAAACCATTTCATAGCCATTTCTTATAGGTACTAAGTGGCTTGGTAGGTGGGTGTCACATCTCCAGGATGAAAATTTCTTTTTTTTTTTCAGTTTTTTTTTTTAATGTTTATTTTTTTTTTTTATTTCTAGGAGAGAGAGAGAGAGAGAGAGTGTGAGCAGGGGAGGGTCAGAGAGAGAGGGAGTCACAGACTGAAACAGGCTCCAGGCTCTGAGCTGGCAGTCAGCACAGAGCCCGACGCGGGGCTCGAACCCACGAACCGCGAGATCATGACCTAAGCGAAAGTTGGACGCTCAACCGACTAAGCCACCCAGGCGCCCCTCCAGGGTGAAAATTTCTGACAACACTCCCATCCAACAGAAATATTTATCTTTTTTTCTAACCCCTCACAACATCTCAATGTGGAATAAAAGTCAAGGCCTTCATATGGAGATATGTCCTTTATCTGAACTTTATCTTCCCAGTGGTGCACAGAAATCAAATGAATATAAACTTAGACTTTGCTCTTGACTTACTTCTAGCATTTGTAACCTCTTGGAGTCATCTCTGGGTGCAGGGGCACAAGCAGCAGACAGAGAGTCATGTGATTATCTTATCCGTTCCCTCAGAGTTCTGCACGACGTCCCTTTCTGGTAATGTTGGTGTTGGAGCTGGGTATTTAACATGCCGGCTTCGTCACATGGTTTGGCCTGATACAGTTGTGTGTCAGGGGAGCTATACTCCCCGTCCATGTAAGAGACACCTAAATAGAGTCTGTATTGTCTGCAGAGAAATGGGTAGCTGTTGTCTTCATGAGAGAAAGGGTAAGAGCCACCATTGTATTTGCTTAGCAGCACTGTTTTCTAAACTACTTCAGTGAAGGTTCACGGAGGGTCACATCCTCATGCTGACCGTCGTCTTTGTGATTTCAGAGGTGGTGGCCCAGTGGTGCACGCAAGGAGACCTCCTGGCCGTCTCTGGTATGGAACGGCAGACCCAGCTCAGTGACCTCCCCAATGGCCCTCTTCTGAAGAGTGCCATGGTCAAGTTCTACAATGTCCGTGGGGAGCACATCTTCACTCTGGACACGCTCGTGCAAGTAAGGATGTGTGTCAGACATTCACTGTAATGCCACTGTGTTAGAATGCTCTCCGGGCTCCATTAAATACCATGAGGTGGCTATGCTTACTGTAATTATCTTTGACAGATTTTAATGTTTCATTGACCTTAATTAAATTATGGAGTATAAGCCAGAAGAGATAAAGGAGAAACATGATTTTGCCTTTAACCAAAATATTTTATTACATTCCCCACTGAAAAGAGTGGACAGTGAGTAAGCAGAGGGAGCTGGTGTTTATCGTCAAGCGGAAATTAGAACTTACAGAAGTATGTGCTGAATCTTCATTTACTCACTCTGATGTTATGTTTTCTATGCCAGTAATGTACTTCTGCATTTCAGCTAAATTACTATTAAACAGTAAGTAAGAAAGCTTAAAGATCTTTAGGAAAGAAAGATAGCCCTTTTCTATTTGTTTTTATTTCCCAGATATCTTTAGACCAGTTCATTTCGGATCTGGATCAGCTATCACGGAGGACAAAATTCTTAATGGAGTGTAGTGGAGACAGGTCTGAGAGTGAGTTGATGATTGATGGGGCTTGTAATAAACTAGAGACTTATATCCTCACCGTACCCAGCTCAAACAGACAGGTACACCAGATTCGAGGAAATTTGTAATTAGATGCAGACATTGATTACTTAAATATATCTCTCTTTTTTTGGTTGTGGAAAAATACACATAATAGAATTTACGTTCTTAATCATTTTTAAGTGTACCGTTCGGTATTGTTAATTTTGTTATGTTACTGTGTAACCAGTCTCCAGAACTTCATCTTAACAAAACTGAAACTGCAGGTGCATTGCCTAGAACATATTAGGTGCTCAGTAAATATTTTCTTGGTGGGATTGATGAACAATTGTCAACATATACTTTGTTTAGTGCTTTCTGCTGATAGTTTGAACCGGTAGGCTAGGTGCCTTCTCACTCAGATACTATGCTGACTTTCTATCCCTACCCTGACAAGTAGGAGAGGATGAGCATTTCCAGCTCTTTCTGAGTTAATAAGGCTTTTACAGTTATTAGAAAAACGCATTTGTGACTTGAAGTAATGAAACACACTCCCAGTATATTCAGTGTTGTCCGGTCTTCTGTCTGACTCAGGGCACCCCTCCTGCTGGTATTCCGTTCCTTCTGCAAGGATCGCCCTCCACAGCCATCTCAGCTGGGGGAAATCATCCTTAACACCAACACAGTCGCATCCTTATGTAAATCTGCCCAACGGCTACAATCCCTCTTCTCCATGAAGCATCCCCCTGGGATGTTTGATACTTCTGATATTACACTTTTCTGTCCACTTGTCTTATCTTCTTGAAGTCAAAGACCACATTTTCTTCATTTCTTTGAAATTCCTGGAATACAGTAGAGGCTCAACGGCCTCAACCATTGTAGGAGTTCTCATCAACTGTAACATACAACTGTGAAACTGACGTAGGTCTTTTCAGCTCAAAGATAGGAAGGGAGCTTAGCTGATCGTTCTTTGGGGAAAAATATCCATATAGTGTCTCAGCATTTTAATAAATTATTCTTTTTTTCATTTTAGGATCTGTTTCAACCATTGAAAAAAAAATGTCTCAATAATACAAAGTTAAGTAATGATGTTACCAAAATCAAGTACAACAGGGCACCTGGGTGCCTCAGTCGGTTGAACATCCGACTTTTGATTGTGGCTCGGGTCATGATCCCAGGGTCATGGGATTAAGCCCCACATAGGGCTCTGTGCTAAGTGTAGAGCCTGCTTAGGATTCATTCTCTCTTTCTCTCTCTCTCTCTCTCTCTCTCCCTCCCCCCCCCCACCCTCATGCTCTCTCGCTCTCTCAAAAAAAGTTTTTTTAAATCAAGTACAAGATTAATTATAGACAGCATCAACTTTTTTCTGTAAGATTCTAAAATCACTTGTTTTCTGTGCTGTTTCAAGTTGTCCAAGGGCAGGGTCATTTTTATAGCAGGAAGGAAGTTAGGAAATTTATTGGGTTGTTTATAGAAAGAACTAAATGCAATTTAGATTGGATAATTTATTTCCAAGTTAATTAGCTTGTAGGTTATTGCGTACAAAACCGTTGCTGGGCACAAACTTGCGGCAGCCTTAGCTTTAAAATTGATTCTCCTGATTTACTCATAACACCAGTGCCAGTGAGTAGCTGAAGCTCTTATAAGGAAATGTACAGTAATTTATTTTCCTTTCCTTTCTACTTGTTGTAGTTGAAAATTCTGTAATTTACCTCATTTAGCTGTTTCTAGGACCATCTGTATATAATTGCATATCTGTTCATCTGACAACCCGTTTTTAGAATTAGCATTACTGACTGAAGTTTGCAGACTTCAGTCATTTGGGTCTAGGTTTTTGGTTGGTTGGTTGGTTGGTTTTGTTGTAGCTTTATGATTTTTTTTTTTCTTTTGCAGTAAAGGCATATTGGAGGAGTTAGCTTATATTTTGTAAGGTTCAATTGTTGATGTAAGATATTTGGGTAAAACATTAAGAGAGAAGGGAGAGGAAGAGATGGATGTGGAAACTGAAAAATGAAATGAGAGATTGCAGTTATGGTCATAGACTCTGTACTCCAGAAGGAGAGTCCGTTAGCAAAGGCATATATTGACCCCTTTTGTTGAGGACTAACTGTACCTGTTCTTACAAAGCTGCCTCAGGAGTGCTTTTCCCATGGTTTGCTAGAAATAGATGAGAAGAAAGTCCTTCCCAGGGTTGTCTGCTTTCAAAATATAAGAAAGGTGCGGTTTTATTTAAACTGCCCGAATTGGGTGCCCGAATGCTGAGCTGGCTTTTACTACTGCACTTTAGTAAGCAGCCAAATCATTACAGCGTAATATTCAAAACTGTCCATGGCTCCACCAGCACAGTGTGATGGTGACCAGTCACCCAGCTTGGTCTGTTTAACAGTAAACCGTTCTAGAAGACTTGTCTTCTTTGTACACTCTTGTACAGATATTGTACACATCCCCTTCCAATGTTAGACATGGGAATGCATTTCCTCTAAGACAGAAAACATCCTACTTCCTAGGGGAGCTGTGGAAATGAGGGGCAGAGCTGCCCTGGATGTAGGGGCCTGGGAGAGCCCTCCAGAGAGCCCTCTGGCATCCACAGGGTCAGACAGCTCCATGGGTCGGTCCCCAGTAATCAGCCTGGGGCCTTCATCAGCCATAAACAGTGGGTTCAGACAGCTTCACTGTCCCTCTCTTGGGACAGCTGGATTTGACCCTTTTGTTGTCTGTTGTCTTTTATCTTTCTTGAGCAGCTTATCTTTAATATAAAAAGAACATCCTGTTTTTTATTCCTCGTAAATTTTTAGAGGACTCCATACAACTCACTGCAATATACAAAAATAGCAATAAGGTGAGGATGCTTTCAATTTTTATTTATTTATTTTTTTAATGTTGTGTTTTTTTAACGTTTTATTTATTTATGAGAGGAGACAGCATGATCAGCAGAGGGTCAGAGAGAGAGGGACACACAGAAACTGAAACAGGCTCCAGGCTCTGAGCTGTCAGCACAGAGCCCGATGCGGGGCTCAAACCCACGAACCGTGAGATCATGACCTGAGCCGAAGTTGGTCACTTAACCCACTCAGCCACCCAGGCGCCCCCATCTGAGTCAGGCCTCTGCTAAAACTATCTCCTTGGAGCAGCCTTCTCTGCCCCTTATCTAAAACAACCCCCTCACTCTTTCTCACGCCCCCATCCTGACATGATCTAGTATTCCCCATCGGAGAGAGGATGTGCATCTGTCTCCCTGTCCTGCCTCCCAGTGTCCGCTCCGTGAGGGCAAGGATTTTATTTTATTCATTATCAATCCGTAGCATTTGGAATGTGCGTGGCCGATTGTAGACATTGACAGACAGCTCACTGCATGACTGACTGGCAGCTCAGGGGATGAGCAGATGCCGGCGTGAGTGTGCAGCGTACATCGTGGGCAGCAGGAGACGAGGCTGGGGAGTATGCAGCATGTCTTCATGTGCCGGAGGGGCTGAAACTGACCATTTACTAATACAGTCCCTGTGCTGTAGCCAAGGACGTAAGAGGAGCAGACTCGCCTGCCTCCCTCATGTGGATCGGCATCAGACAGCAAGACAGGCAGGTCCTTGAGAGGACAGCTTGACTGTGCATTAACCACTCACCAGACCTCCGTTTAAATAGCATGTCTCTCCAGCTAATACCTCTCCTGTTTCATCAGACTCACCAGAGCACTAGATTTCTACTACCCTAATGCTCCCCGAAATGTTGCTCATGTTCTCATCCTTTTGCTTTGGGTTTAGACATGCAAAGTATGTGGACTTGCCCACACGAATTGAGATTTGAATGTTACCAACTTCACAGTTCTGGCCATCAGTTCTAAAAATAGTCATTTTGTGTGACTGGGGAGAGATGAAGTCTGCAGATTTACACCTGAGTGTTTCCCTAGCAGACAGCACCTGTTCAAACAAATGCATTAATCTGTGGAGCTGGGTTAGTGTGCACCCTTCTCTGCTCCCAGGTTTAGTGGAATTAAACATCCATTACGTTTCTCTCCTACTGCAGCCAGTTCTGGTAGGTGGGCGGCTCTTGGGGCAGGTGGCGCGCTGTGGGCAGGCAGACAGTGGGGTCCTACTTGCAGGCACCGCGGATCCTTGGGGACAGAGGGTAGAGGTCATGGATGAGGAGGCAGCGGAATCGAGACACCCCCACCCCACATCTGTTGGCATGTGCACTTTGAGTCTTATTCTTCCCAAAACAACAACTTTTGTAGGGAGGGTTTTGTAGGCTGATGTACCCAGAAACAGCACAGGAAAATCAGCACCAGAAGGAAATGAGACATTAAAAAAATAAGATGACATGTAAAAAAAAGTATAAAAGTATTCAAAAAGGTCTAAAAGGATTTTGTGTGTGGTTTCTTATTTGTTTGTTTATTTGCAGCTCTGTTGAGATATAGTTGACGTGAATGTTGTATAAATTAAAGTATACAAGTGTAGACTTGATACACTTATGTATTATAATAGGATTGCCATCATAAAGTTCACTAGCACCTCCATCACTGCACACAATTACCATTTCTTTTTGTGGGAAGAACATTTAAGATATAGTCTCTCAGAGCTTTCAAATACATAGTATAGTCTTTCTACTGACATATGGACTTAAGGGTACCCTGAGGCCCTGGCCCTACCGCCAAGCCTCCTCCATTGAATGAGAATTACAGTATTCCATTTCCCTACATCAGGGAGATCTCAAAACCTTCAGACAAGAGGATCAGCTCTATCTGTAAATTCTTCGTTATTTTTCTAATATAGTCTTAAAATTTAGTATGGAAAGGTACCAGTATTTATTTTGCTGCTTTACGACTTACAGGGAATATATGCTGTATAAATAAATTACAAGAGCATGTTTCCCTCCTTTAGTGAAATAAACTACCATTGACTCGAGCAAGTAAGTGAATGCTTACCCCCAGATTACTGTGCCGTGAATTCCCATTGGTGTTCTTGTCTTCCAGAAGAGGAGACTTCTAGTAACCTTGCTCTGGATAACAGTCACTGCTTTGAGTGCCTTTGTAGGTGTCATCTCTCCAGGCCACAGAATTTCCATTCTTCACTCTGTGTCCTGGTTTTCACCCTTTTGGGCCTTTGAGGACCTCCTTGCTGAGAAGCCTGTATCCTTGGGGACATAATGCACAATGTGGTAGCACGGTCCCTCCTACCCTCAAAACAAGGCCATCCTCTTGCTGTCTCTTGTGTATCTAACAGCACTTCCTGGCTAATTTATCTCCACTTTGCGCCCATATGACCTCTGGATTCTCTTCTGCCATAATGAGTCTCTCGGTCACTGTCCATTCGCTAATTGTGCAGCGTGTTTCTCCTCCTGTCTGTGTGCCTTTTCAACAGACATATTATCTACTTTGGCCTTGACCAAATGGATTAAGGAGAGAATTGGGGTTACTTACTTTATTAAGTTTGTTAGTGAGACATTATACATTGTTTAAGTGGTTATAGCAGTATGCTGACAAGAAAGGAAGCAGCACCTCATGGTAGGATGAGCATAAACTGTGGAGTTGAAAGAATTGTAGCTCTCCTGTGTATTAGCTGTAACCAAGGTAATTAGCCTCTCTGAGCGTCAGTTTCCTCATGTATTAAATGGGAATCATGATACCAAATGGTAGAACTGAAAGGATTAAATGAGATACTATTTGTACTTATTAAGATATAAGAGAGAGAATTTTTTTTAACGTTTATTTTGAGGCGGGTGGAGACACAGAATCTGAAGCAGGCTCCAGCCTCTAAGCTGTCAGCACAGAGCCCGATGCGGGGCCCAAACCCATTAACCGTGAGATCATGACCTGAGCTGAAGTCAGATGCTTAACCAGCTGAGCCACCCAAGGCTGCCCAGAGAATTTTTATCCACTTTGAAAGTCTGTATCAAAGTGGCTTAAGTTCCTTTGTACAGAGGGATAAGAAATAATATACTTATCATAACGATAATTTTATGTAAGATCCTCCCAAAACATGTAATTGACTCTTAGTATGAAAAGCAGAAACCAGAAGGACAGAGGGGACGGATTAATGAAAGCAAAAGAATTTTTTTTTTTTTGAGAATTAAGGGGTTTATTGTTATTCCCATTTTTTTTTTTATTTTTGCCCCTGAATCTTTTTTTTTTCTTAAATAGTTTATCGTCAAGTTGGTTTCCATATAACACCCAGTCCTCATCCCAACAAGTGCCCTCCTCCATGCCCGTCACTACCCTTCCCCACCCCCATCAGCCCTCAGTTTGTTCTCAGCATTCAAGAGTCTCTTATGGTTTGCCTCCCTCCCTCTCCCCAACTATTTTTCCCTTTCTCCTCCCCCATGGTCCTCCGTTAAGTTCCTCCTAATCCACCTATACATGCAAACATATGCACGTTTTACATAACAATTTTTTTTTTAATTTTTTATGTCTTATCTGCTCTGTTTTTAGTAGTGATCATGGCTTACTGTAAGTTAACAGGCCCCTCTAAGGAGTCGGCCCTGGGTGTAGGATCCTCTTGTAAGGAAGCGCATTTTAGAAGTACTCTGGAGGCCCGCACATTTGAGTTCTGGGTTCCTGGCCCATGGCTGCCTGGGCTCACAGAGATGGAAATAAATGATGGAGTATCTTCAGCCTTGCATTTTGTTTTGAAGTTGAAACCAGGATTAGCTGACCCTGGAGGCTATTTTAAGCAGGTGTCTTCATCTGTTCCTTTTATCTTGTTATTTGTTACTGAAGTGTGAAAATTCTGTTCTTGTCTGCCATTCCTATAATAGACCTGATATCCCCACTTCTGATCTTTGAAACCCCTCAAGACCTCATTAAATTAGAGCCCCATCCAGCTGACAGGAAGGAACATTGTCCCGTGGCATCACCATCACAGCCCTCTGCCTCTTCCCTTCTTCCTTGGTTGATCCTGGCTGGCACCCCCAAGCCTCGGACTTTTTTTTTTTTTTTATCAATCCAACTAGTTGCTGACTTGCATATGTGGATTTCAGCCTGCCTATTCAAAGCAGTGGTGGCCACAACACCCTGGAGTGGCCACTGCAGGAGCTGCATCCTCTCTCCAGATGGCTTCTGCTTTCTTTCTCTGCTCCTCAGCTCCAGTCTGCTGAGCGTGACAGTGACTCAGTGCCTGTGATTGGTCCCAGAAGCACCTTCGGCATCTTGCCTCTCCTTCTATCCTCAACAGCTCCCGTTTTACTCATGACAACAGGGAGACTTCCCAGGGTTGTATGATGGTCCCCAGGCCTAGTGTCGATTTGACTCTAAAATGTTCCTCATTGGGGCAAAAGGGGGACAAAAATGCTATCTGGTCAACCTCCTCGCCACTGTCCAAGCCACAGGAGCTACCGCCAGCTTCTTGGGGATCCAGATAACCAGAGTTTCAGTGAGGAAGGGTGGGTCACTGTTCCCCACACCAGTTGCATCTTCTGGTAGAGATGACATTAGACAGAGCTAAGTTAGGTTTTATGGTACCAAATTAAATGAGATAATACATGTAAAAGAACTTCACAAAACTATTCATTCCAGTGCCTTGTGTTCTGTGTTCTGGCCTGGGGATCTGACTGCTTTCCAGTGAAAATACTGAATTTCTGTAACATGGTATTTCATTATCTGTTGTACTTTTTAAAACCAATATTCTCAGAAACTATTCAGTTGCTTTATTTTGCTTGACACACGCTTGCGTGATCCTCTTTGCTTACTACAAGAGCAGAAGCCTAAGTATAGCCTCCCTCACCTCCTGCAGCGCCCCATCGTCTCCATCTGCTGGGGACATCGAGACTCGCGGCTGCTGATGGCTTCAGGACCGGCCCTGTATGTGGTGCGCGTGGAGCACCGCGTGTCCAGCCTGCAGCTGCTGTGCCAGCAGGCCATCGCCAGCGCCCTGCGAGAAGACAAGGACGTCAGCAAGCTGACCCTGCCACCCCGCCTTTGCTCCTACCTCTCCACTGCCTTCATCCCCACCATCAAGGTACAGCCTGTCCACCCTCCCTCCCTTCCTCCCCCGAGCCAGCTCCCTTCTTGCAGAGGGCAGGCAAGAATCGAGCAGGCGCGCAAAAGCCACGTCTGCTCCTGGGCGAGAGGAGCATCCGACACCAGGATGCTGGCAAGTGCAGTCTGTCCCCGGCACCGCTAGTGTCTGCCAGAGACTCGCCTTAGGTGAGGGCGCAAGGTTTCTCTTGGCAGAGGCAGTACTTAGAGCTTGACAGCCGTGCCGCCCTGATGGCCTGTCTGCTTGGTTCAGTCCTCACTTTCTGGCAGGTGCTTTACAGAAGCGGGAAACACATTCCTAGAAGTTTGGGTAGCTTGCTCCATCACCAGTTATGAGAATGGTCAGATTGAACTCTGTCCTGAGGAATGAATTACCGTGCTGAGGAGGGGTGACCTCCACCCAGCACTCGCTGTCACTCGCCCTTTATACTGATGGTAACTCGAGAATTAGTCCGCGTATTGGCGGTGTGTAGACTGTACCTGCCAGTTGTTGGTCAAGTGTGGGTTTCCTCCTAACCTCAGAGCCTCGACACCTTACATTCTTTTCTATATTCTCTTTTTTGTAAACTATCTCTGCTTCCAAGTATCAGACTGACCTGTTCAAGGTTACATCAGTTTTAGAATATGTTGGGATGTTTTTTCAAGTTGCTTAATAATCATGGTTGTATACCCGTGACTCTCAACCATGGCTGCACATTAAAATCAAATGGGGAGTTTTTAGACAATGCACACGTGCAGGCCCACCCCCCAGAGAATCCAGTTTTGTTGTTTGAGGTGGGATCTTTGCTCAGGTATTTTTTTAAAGCTCCCAGGAGATTCTCGGGTGCACCCCCAGTTGAGAGCCGCTGCTCCACATCACATAGTTAGCACTCCCCGAGCTATCAGCCCGTGCTCCATTGGAGTAAGCAGTGACATCCATGCTCTTTTCTGTCCACATCCGGCCTCCAGCCCCCAATTCCGGACCCCAACAACATGCGAGACTTTGTCAGCTACCCTTCGGCCGGCAACGAGCGTCTGCACTGCACCATGAAGCGCACCGAGGACGACCCGGAGGTGGGCGGTCCGTGCTACACCCTCTACCTGGAGTACCTGGGCGGGCTCGTGCCCATCCTCAAGGGGCGACGCATCAGCAAGCTGCGGCCCGAGTTCGTCATCATGGACCCCCGGACAGATAGCAAACCAGGTGGGCCTGCACGCAGAGAGACGGAGGCCGTGTTCTCAGGTGTGGCTGAGGAACGGTGTCCTGACAGCCCATGCAGAGTTAGTGCCGACTTGGGAAATGTGAGCCGTGTCTGGGCTAGCGTGGAATATCCTTGAAGCTGCTCCATTTCCAAAATTGTATTGAAGCTACAGATTCTCTAAATGTACTTTCTGATGGGTTTTTAACAGCAGCCAGTACAGCTTCGCGTGCTCGGGGCTGTGGACAGAGGGAACGTCAGCTCTGTCAGGGGGAGGCTGACCAGGCTTTTGGGGAATAATAGGCTCCTCTCTTAGTTATTTATCAGGCATTATTGAGGGTCATAATGTACTGTTGAGACAAACAAAATAATCGTGAGGTACATTTCTGTCCTCCCAGAGCAAATGATAGAATTAAAATTTTGAAACCTTTAGCCTACTCCTGAGCCTCCTGCTAGAATCTTACTTCTGCCCCTTACTAATCCACCGTCGACTGCTTTTTAGCTGATTACTAAGGAAAATCCCTTGCGCGTCCACGAAGATTTTGGCATGATGAACCACTCTCACTTTCTGAAAACTCTCTCCTATATTGACCTTCATTACTCAGTTGGTGTATGCGAGGTGCTCGCTGTGTGCTTGCCTCTGGGGCCCTACACTGTGAGCCTCCAGAGCGGAGGCACTTCGCTGTTTGTTTGCACTGTGGACACTTGTCCAATGTCCTAAGCTGGTGACTGAGGCCCACACACCCCGCCAGCGGGACCGCCGGCTCATGGTCTGTGGTGCCCTGTGACATCCCAGGCATCACATGTAACGGTGAGAGGAGCACTGCCTGCCCTGCCAGTCACTCGTCGGTTGGGCTGCGGGTGTCCTGTGGGCCCCTGGCCCCCCGGAGGCCCGAGGGCCTGGACGGAGGGAACTCAGTGCCTGGCTGGCGCCTGACCTTGACAGGACAAGTTGAAAGGGGTTTGTTTGAGGGGTGCATGCTCATCCTCTCCACTTCCCCGCTCTCTCTCCTGGGCAAGACTGGCCTCTGCCCCTCGTGTCCCTGAGACTCTGTGACGTGCTGGTGTCACAGCGCAGCAGGCGTCTTCAGCCCAATGAGCCTGCCTGCTTGGACAGTTCGCAGGCTGCCCCACCTCTGTGTGCACCCCGTGATTCGTACAGCGTCTGTGGCTGCCGCTCTGCGGTCTGTGTTACTGTGTGAAGTTGAGAGCAGTGAAACTGTACTTTGAAACAGTAGATATTGGTCCATGTGTTTGTCTTTTGACTTCAGTGGACAAGCACTGAGAGCAGGAAGGTGAATGAAAGAACGGGAGGCAGGAGGGAAGGAGGGAGAAGATTCAGAACGCGAAGTGAGGAGGGCAGGAGAGTGGGCATGGGCGTCGCAGAAGCTGTGGCTTCAGGGGAAGGGACAGGAATGATACCCAAAGTGGGCAAGCTGTGGACGGCCCGCACCTCACAGTCATTGTCCCTGAGGCTCCCCGCCATGTGTACAAGTTTATAAAACCAGTACTGAATTGGAATGTTGAGAGCAGCTGATGTGAAGCACTTGCTTCTGTCCCCAAGTGCATAAATTCTCCACTAAAAATCAGAAACAGACAGGGGTGCCATGGGGCACCAAGGCTGGGAACCCAGCTGCCAGCCCGACGCCTGCTTCTCTGGACTGTTTCCGTCCCTCAGCTCGTGCTGCACACAGTCGGGCTCAAGTGCTGCCAGTCCTCTGGGGAATAAGATGCTTTATTTTTTATTTTTCTAATTAAATGAATCAGAGTTATAAAGCACAACAGATCAACAGTATGTATTCAGTCCCCTCTCTGTCTGCCGTCTTTGAATCTCCTGTGGTTGTGGGGCAACGCCAGGGCATGTCTGCTTTCAGGGAGTTTATAAACCCTTTCAGGTGACAAGACAACTTAACACGTGGAAAGTTCAGTAAAAACATCAAGATTTTAATACCTCAAGACAAGAATAGAAGCTGTGTCACAAGGCAGAATATGACTAATTGCCAACCAAATGGTATATGCAGAATGGGTTAGAGGAGGGAAAGATTCCGAACTCTGGGAATCCGGGAATTTCTCATGAGCTGATTAACTCTATCAGGCCTGCACGTCATTGTTTCTCAGAATGTGGTCCATGGGCCACCTCCTTACAGATCACCTGGGGCATGTCTCGAAATGCAGGTTGCCAGGCCTGCCCCTTAGCTTCATTCAGCAGGTCTGGGGCAAGGCCCCCGAGTCTGCAGCTTCCAGTGGGAATCGTGCTCCGAGGTTTGTGCTCACTGTTGTAAATGCTCTCCAAGCAACCTGACAAACACACTCCTCAAAATTACCAGTGTGTACTTTTATAATTGAGAACATGCATGAGAGCTTTTTTTCCCCCAGAAAATTCACAAATCTTTAAAAGGAATCTTTAGTCCGAGCTTACTACAGGTGGAATTGTGTCCCCCTGAAATTCATATGTTGAACCCCTACTTCCGGTGTTACTGTATTTGGAGAATATGGCTTTGAGAGGGTGATTAAGGTTCAGTGAGGCCATTAGGGTGGGGTCTTAATTCAGTCGGATGGGTGGCCTTGTTAGGAAAGAGGGAGAGAGCTCGGTCTGCACATGCACACACTCAGGAAAGGCTAGGTGAAGACACAGTGAGAGGGTAGCCAACTGGGGCCTGGAAGAGAGTCCTCACTGGAACCTGACCATGCTGGCACCCTGACCTCGGACCTCCAGCCTCCAGAACTGAGACATAAATTTCTGTTGTTTATAAGCCACCAAGTCTGGCATTTTATCATAGCAGCCTAACCAGGTTAAGACATGAGTAAAGAGAAAAAGCAAATGGTATGACATATAGCCACCTGTGAGATCCTGGATTAGCAAACAGGTCAGGAGCTGAGCGGGCAACACAGTACTCAGTTTCCTCACTGAGTGAACTGGCTCTGTTCACGAGCACACAGAGACCTTCTATGGGTTTACATGCCCATGTGAGTCAGGCCAGGCTTCCTCTGGCTAAGTGACTCCAAACGTAAGTAATGGAAAGCACTACAAGTGAGTGAAGCCTCTTTATTTGATGGAACTCAGATGCCCACCAGTATAGCTTGCTGTGTTCACGAGTCATTCCTTCTGCTGGGGATATAGTTTAAGAGGAGAGTGATGTGGTTACACAGACCGGGCCTTAGTCAGCCTGCTTCTGGGTAGCATGCATGCCAGACTGTTCTGCTCTGTATCCAGTGGCCTCCGAGAGGCCCCTGTTCACAGATGTCCCCTCCATATGTTCAGAAACACTAGAGATTAGTTTATATTAACAGACGCATTCTTTCAAATGTAAACAGCTTTTTTGAATGATAAAATCACTCAAATTCTATCATTTATTTCATTGCAGTTGGACAATTCGGCTTTTTTATTACCTGGCAAGGTTCTTGGAGCCTTGAGGGAATGAGGCTTTTATCAGCAAAACAAAGTGATTTTGAAGATGGGGTACCTGCAGTGAGGGCACAGAGACTTTGGGGAGGGAAGGGATGGGAGGGGTTGGAGGAAGGCAGCAGAGGAGGAAAGATTTCGGGGAAGGTGTCCCACATGACCTCCGTCTCCTCTGCAGTTCTGTGTTGGCCCAGGCTCTGTGCACACCGTCTTCTGCCTTAGGGCCTCTGATTTCTGCCTGGTGGCCAGCTGTGAAAATCCCCTCCTGCACGGGCGTTCCTTCCAGCTGCAACTCGAAGCAGGCCGGCAGAAACTTCCGGGAGCCCCTGCGGTGGACCTGACTCTGTCAGATCTCCAGTCCAGAGCAGGCATGGAACCAGAAGGGGCCTTCACAGGGCCCAGGTCAGAAGCAGGTTCTTGGGTCCCCAGGTGGCCTGCAAACCTGTACGAACCCAGATGGATGCCTGGTGTGCTGGAGCTTCCAGCTTTCGGCTGGTGAACGCTGCCGAACTGCTTTATACATTCCAGAGGCATGAAAATTCCATGCCCACTTTGATACCAGTAGAATTAATTGCCTCCTCTTGCTTAGAAAAATGTAATAGCATAAAAATGTAGAAAGGAGGGGCACCTGGGTGGCTTAGTCGGTTAAGCGTCCAACTTTCGCTTAGGTCATGATCTCGAGGTTCGTGGGTTCGAGCCCCGCGTCGGGCTCTGTGCTGACTGCCAGCTCAGAGCCTGGAGCCTGTTTCAGTCTGTGACTCCCTCTCTCTCTGACCCTCCCCTGCTCACGCTGTCTCTCTCTCTTTCCTAGAAATAAATAAAAAACATTAAAAAAAATTTTTTTTTAAATGTAGAAAGGAAACCATGCTCGAGTCCTTTATATTTCAAACTCTAGACTTAAATGTTGGCTTGGAGAGTCATTCTGTCCTATAGTTCCCAGTAGTAGTGATCCTTGTTAGGGTGTAACCGATACCACATCCCAGAGTCTGCCGGTTGTGTCTCACCAGATGAAATCTACGGAAACAGCTTGATCTCCGCCATGCTCGACAGCTGTAACTGCTCAGATTCCAGTGACATCGAACTGAGTGACGACTGGGCTGCTAAGAAATCCCCCAAGATCTCCCGAGCTAGCAAATCACCCAAACTCCCAAGGTAATCGTGCTTTTTAGGGGTGTTCTTCCTTGTTTGTGCCTCTGGAGGCATGTCTGTGTTGTGTTTGCCGCCGAAGCCCGTTGAACCCTATAGGAGAAGGGCCCAGCAAGAGCATGCCCCTGCCTTTTGTCTGGAGGATCTGCCCTCAGCAATTACAGCTTTCCTTTCGTCTCCTTTCCTTTTCCTTTGGGTAGAAGGAATCCACCCAGTAGGAGCTTTGCTAAACCTTCAGAACTTCTAAGCGTTAGCATGGTGGTGGGTGGCATGGGGTGGCCATAGCTCCCTGGCTTATTTGTTTGTTCTTCTAGTTTCAGAAAAGTAAGGAAAAGATTTTACAGGGAAGGTACTGTAATGTGTTGAAGAGCATGCCAAATTAAATATCTCTAATGCTGTCATTGGAAATAAATTGTAAACTAAAAAAAAAATTAGATCCTAAAGGTTTTTCCTGTAGAGAGGCAAGAAGCTAAGAGTAGATAGAACGGCCTGTGGTGTCCTGGATAAGAACCCCCCACTCCAGCTCCACCGCTGAAGGCTCTACAACCTTGGATGGATCCATGACCTGGATGCCAATGTCCTTATCTGCAGAAGGTAAAGGGAGAGTCAGAACTTCACGGAGATCCGTTTAGCTCTAAAATTCTGTGATCCTGTGCAAAATTAAGATATAATTTATGTACAGATAACCTATCTGCCGAGATCCCAAGCACATAATTTACTGTGCAGTTGATAAACCAATGTATTTACCACCCAGTTGAAGTTAACATTTTTATCATCCCGAAAAGTTCCTCATGCCCCTTCACGTTCAATACCTACTCCCCAGAGTCAGCACTGTCCTAATTTTTGTCACCACAGACTAGTTTTACTTGTTCTAGAATTTCATATAAATGGCATCAAACAATATATACTTTTTTTTTTTTTTAACTCTTGCTCAACATAATGACTGAGATCCATTGGTTTCCATTGTAATGAATATAGTAGTTTGTTTATTCCATTTATCCATTGCTTGACCTGTAGTAATGAGACTTTTTGTGGACACACTCCTCTATCTCGGGTACATACCAAGGAGGGGGGCTGTGGAGCCAGGGCACATGTTCAGCTTCACTGGAAACTGCCAGACAGTATTCCGAGTTCCTGCCATCAGTGTGTGTGAGACTTCTGTTTTCACCCACAGTTGCATTGTCCTTGTCAGAAAAGAATTCTATCCATTCTCCTGGACGTGTAGGGGTATCTTAACATCTCTAGTGATTGGTGATGCCACCTAGCTTTTCATGTTTATTGGCCGTTTGGATATCTTCTGTTATAAAAAGTCTCTTTATAAAGAGTCTCTTGCCCATTCTTTATTGAGTTGTTTTTCACTTACCAAGTTATAAGATTCTTTATGTATTTTAGCTATGAGTCTTTGAATGGAGGTACAGAGCACTACATGGTCTAACATAATATGAATTTCTTCTTTTATGATTAGTGCTTTTTGCATCCTGTTTAGGAAGTATTTGTCTACCCTTAGGTAGTGAAGACATCCTTCTATTCATTTCCAGAAACTTGGTAGTTTTAGCTTTCATACTTCAATCTCAGATTAATTTTTGAGTGTGGGGTGAGTTCTTCCTGTATAGATAGATATCCAGTTACTCAAGCAATTTGATTTATTTTTTCATCTTTATTCTGAGCTTGTTAAAATTGCACATAAGCCTGTGAACTTCCCTATACTTCCCTATACTTCTACAGTGTTTGCAGCTTTTCCCCTAATTAAGGGAGGACCTTTAACACATAAGCAACCAAATCCTTCACCTGTAAATGTCCTTCCAAAGCCCCCAGATGTGGCAGTCTCTGGGCCGGTCCTGCTTCCTTCTGTCCTTCCCTGCACTGAATCCCCTACTTTTAGCAGCCAGGCGGTCCTCACACAGAGCCTTCACCAGCTCGGTCCTGTCTGCCTGCACTTTGGGAGCCCCTGTGGATCGCATGCTCAGGCAGTACCTGTGAGGCTCCGTGCTCTCCTTTCATTGGTTGCCATCAACCTTAACATGCTCATTTTTCTAGCACTCTCTGTGGGGTAGGCCAGCATTAACACATGTCCCCATGTTACAAATACAGAGACTAAGGACCAGAGATATAATGTAGGATCCGAAGATAACAGAAAAACTGTAGACCCACAGGTTTGATTTAAATATCACAGCTGGTGAGGGGCACCTGGGTGGCTTAGTCAGTTAAGCGTCTGACTTTCACTTAGGTCATGATCTCACGGTTCGTGGGTTCGAGCCCCGCGTCGGGCTCTGTGCTGACTGCTAGCTCAGAGCCTGGAGCCTATTTCAGAGTCTGTGTCTCCCTCTCTCTCTGACCCTCCCCTGCTCACGCTGTCTCTCTCTCTCCTAGAAATAAATTAAAAAAAATTAAAAAAAAAAATAAAAATAAATAAATAAATATATATCACAGCTGGTGAAAGGCTAGATGTGTCTGTTGAAACCCTAACATTGTATTAGGAATTGTAAAATCATTGTAACCTCAGGGTGAAACATGGCTCTTCTTACCTGCTGTTTACCCACATGCATGAGGCATGTGGACATTTCTTTTTTTTTTTTAATCTTTATTTACTTTTGAGGGAGAGACAGTGATCAGGGGAAGGGCAGAGAGAGAGGGAGACACAGACACACATAGCCTGCTCAAGCTCAAACACGGAGCTCGAATACACCGACTGCAAGATCATGACCTGAGCCAAAGTCGGACACTTAACCGACTGAGCCACCCAAAGGCCCTAAGGCACGTGGACATTTCTGAACTTACTATTAGTAGAAAGTGAAACACCATTAATTCTCTGAGGTTCCTTACAAATGAATCACTTGGTTTGGTCTAGTCTCACTGTATTTTTAAATATATATCACTTGATAGACAGTTATGTTCTTCTTTCCTCATACTCATAAGGCAAAAGCAGGTGGGAGAGACTCGGATAAATGAAGGGGCCTTCCCCCTGGGAACACGGCACCCTGGTGGCCACCAGAGCGTGAGGGGAAGGCCAAGGCAGCATATGCCTCTCCGGCCTGTGGGGCTTGACCCTCCTGGCCTTGTCTCCCCAGGATCAACATTGAGGCCCGAAAGTCTCCCAAGTTGTCCCGGGCTGCCCAGGAGATGTCCAGGTCTCCCCGGTTGCCGATGCGCAAGCCCTCCATTGGCTCACCCAGCCTGACGCGAAGAGAGTTTCCCTTTGAAGACATCACTCAGGTAGCATCTGGGGTCCGGGTCGGTCCCACATGTCGCCCCCCCCCCCCCACCGTGTGTGCCTGCCTGCGGCTGAACCCTGCACTCGCCACCCCAGCCTCCATGCTGGTCACTGCCGTCCCAGACAAGGGGTACAGAGAACCAGGGCCCTGTTTGCCCTCCTCACCACCATGCCCTCAGGCAGGCCCCGACACCCCCACATCCCCCAGGACCTCCTTCCACCTCAGACATGCCCCCATGGCCACCTGGGTCTCTTCGCAGGCAGCTCTGGTTGAGACATACCCTCCCACTGCCCCGTCAAGCCACTTCTGACCCTTTGGTGACTCTCGGCGTCCACAGCAGCCTGTCCCTGGTGGCGGCCCCACAGTCTGCGCTGTCTGTCTCTCCATCCTGGTCCCCGCAGTGTCCTCCAGGGGCCACAGCCTCACTGTTGACCACCCTCTTTCTGTGCTTGTGCCTTCGCTGTACCTGGGTCACCGGGTCACCAGCTTTCCCTCGCAGCCCCCTCCCCTTGTTTCTGCCTGCATGCTCCCGGATAGAGCTCCACCCCCTTCCCCGGCTCAGCCACAGCAGTCCCTACGCATCTTGTTTGCGACATTTCTCAGTGACTTATGTCTTTTATGCCTTATGTCCTCCGCTGGGTAATAAGCTCTTTAAGGAGCTGTTTTTAATTCATCTTTATTATTGCTCTTGCACACACCTGCACACTCATGGCTTCAGCATATTGGCAATAAAAAGTTTTTTAAATTGAATTGAATGAGAAAAGAGCTAATTGGGTGGTTGGGGACATATTGGTATCAGTGCAACTGGTGTTTCCAGGAGAAATATCAAGGATAAAAATGGACTCAGAGCGAGGGATACTCCCTCTCGTTCAGTGACTGTGAGAAAGGAGAGGTGAAGAAAAATGTGCCCTGATCACCCTGGTGGCCTTTTTAATCAACACTCGTGCAGACCCACTGGGACACATCTGCTCCTCACTCCTGGCCTGAGAGTCACAGCTCAGTGAGCTGCCACGAGCCACCCTTCAGAAACAGGTGCCTGGCACGTTGTAGTTGGCTTCTGGCCCTAAAAATGGTAGAATGATTACAGAGTGAATACTTCCCGCGTTACGCACCTGTGACTTTTTTAAGCAAAAATGTTAACATTCTTACTTCCTAAGTGATCAATAGAAAACATGAAACTAGATTGTGATTCTTCTTTCCTTTTTTTTTTTTATCCCCCACAGCACAACTATCTTGCTCAGGTCACGTCTAATATCTGGGGAACCAAGTTTAAGATTGTGGGCTTGGCTGCGTTCCTGCCAACCAACCTTGGTGCAGGTAAAAACCGTGCCGTCTTCTGTGCCTGCTCTTCCAGGTGGAACTGAGACTTTTGAAAAGACCGTTCAGAGGAGCTCTTATGGCACCAGAAGATTAGCATGCACTTTATTTACCTCTACACTTTGACTCTAACAATCATAATTTCGCAAAAATCAGAATTATTACTCAAACTGGTTTTTAGCCAGCAGTGCTTTCAGTGTTTTTATATAAGCCCTGACTTCTGAAGAGACCAAAGTAGCTGAAATCTCTAACAAAGCTTTGGTAGGTTTCTGGTCATTTTGATTCCAGGCCTCTCACTGTGGGCAGGTTTTGGTACCAGTGTCTTTAGGTTCTTGAGTCTGAAGAAAGATGAGAAGAAAGCGTTAGAGACTGTAAGAAGCTGGCTGTTATTGCAGGAATCTTCACAGATTTCACGTAGAAGTCCCAGATAAATACCCTCTGTGAGAAATTTGAGACATGGAGGAAAACAGAAAACCTAGTAAATGCTAGGCTAGAACCCAGAATTTGCATTCTTTTCCATCTGCCTGCTTGAAGGATAGTACTAACCTGTCATGTTTACTTTGGGACAGTGAAGGAGTAAAATGACAAAAGGTCTTTTTCAAAGCAGCTTCATCCCCATAGGCACATCGCTGGGTGGGCTGAGGGCTTGTAGCGTCCCCCAGCCTTGCTGGATCAACTGATCACTTAATACGCACACATCTCTGGAAGACCAGGTTTGCGTGTGGCTGGGGTACCCAACTTGAATGTGCTCTATGTCATCTACTAAAAATGGTTTGTGAACAATTTCGAATCTAAGTCGTTTCAGACACGATTAGATCTTTTCAATTAAGTAATTCTTGCAAAGCAGATGTTAAAAAGACCTATGCCATGTATGTGTCTTAGGAGACTTATTAAATAGTGCTGCATCTGGATTTTTCATTCTGAGGTTTCTCAGCTCAAAGAAAAAGAGGAATAAAAGTAACACATAAAACTGGCATAGGAAATAACAATAGACCATCCCTGTACATAGTGCAGAGAAATCTCTTAACAGTATTTTCAGCAACCTGGAAAGTCTTTGATGACCAAGAAATCCTGTTCTTCAGTAATTCAGCTGTGCCCCACTGATGTGCACGGTGGTTCTAGTAACCACTGTATGAGTGTTGTGACCACCCCACGTCAGTACGCCGAGGACTGAACCATCTGCCTACAGTAACCATTGAGAAAAGGAATGGAATCTTAATGCATCTTTTCCTTGTGGATGTTGAGTAGATCCACACATAAGTCAACAAGAACCTTAATACAGGAGAGCCTAGAAGTGCCTTCAAGGTATGTGATGCTCCAGTGTGAGGAATTCGAGTGCCCGAGATAAAAGCTTTCTGTGTGACTACAGTGAAATTGTCCTAATCACTGACCATTTAAAAAAAAAACAAAAAACCATTTTAGTTATTATATTCATTTGTTAAGCTAAGAGAATTTTTTATTTGATTCTGCTAGAGAAATTATCTCTTAGATTCTAGAAGTATGTTACCTGTGGTACCCTATTAAACAATCTTCAGCACTCTCATGGAATTAAAAGTGAGGACTGTTGGGTATTTTATATTAGATAATTGTACTTGATAATTTGTTTCCTTCAATTAGAATTATCTGGCCCTTGAAATTTTTTTTTACTTTTAATTTTTTGCTTTCTCAATTTGAAAAATATGGAATAAATTCAGATTCAAAAGATTTGAAGCAGTATACAGTAAAAGTCTCTCTCTTTTCCTCTGGCCACCTAGTTTTTTCTCCCTGGAGGCAACTGATATAATTTTTTAAGATTATATATATATTTTTCTAAGATTTTAAATTGTATTTCTTTTTACCAATCTGAACAACAAAGAATAGCACGTTAATGCATTAATTCTTAACCTAGAGAGAACGGCCCAGAATTTTAAAGCCAAAATTCATATTCTCTTTTGTGAGCAAGAGAGATGAACACATAAATAAGACCTGTAATGAGCACTCAGTTGGAAACTTAGCCCACACCAGCCTAAGTGCCAGCCTCACACAGCTATTTCGTCACAGGAGGCCTGCCTCGTCGTGGGAGTGCCAGCCAGATGCCTCGGGCACTGGCAGGGACAGCTGTGGAGACGGAGCTGCGCTTCTCTTAGCAAAACATAGGAATAACAGTCATAATACAGAACCTCTGCTTGCCTCACAGGAAGGAGTACTAACCATCAAAGAGAGCCGATGGGTGGTGTCCTGCCAACGTTAGCCTACTACAAACCTACATTCAGATTTATTGTTTTCATCTGATTTTATCTCTTCTAAATGTTTTAGTTGCTATCTAGGCATTCTCTTCAGTGTCCTTGTTGATCCAATAAAACCTTAGCATGTAAAGAAACGGTGTGAAGGGACACTGGGTGGCTCAGTCAGTTAAGTATCTGGCTCTTGATCTTGGCTCGGTCATGATCTCACTGTTGTAAGACCGCGCCTCAAGCCAGGTTCTGTGCTGACAGTGCAGAGCCTGCTTGGGATTCTCTCCCTCTGTCTGGCCCTCTAATCCCGTTCTCCCTCTCTCTCTGTCTCAAAATAAATAAAGAAACTTATAAAAAAAAATTAAAAATAAAGAAATGGTGTAGGAGTTTCTTCAATCACTATCCTGATCATGAAATGGCAGTTGAAAGTCAGGGAAGTCAGGGAAGCAAGGCTCCAGTCCAAAGTAGGGGCACTTTTTATTCTTCCCTGACCCCTCACCCCGGTCTTCTAGTTACCTGAGATTCCCCTGAGTGTGGCATTCTGGTCATCCCAGCTATTTATACTAAATTATCCTTCTGATCACAATTGAGGCTTTATCTATTTATCATACCCCAGCTCATTCCAGAAAAGCATTTCAGTCTAAGACAGGTGTTTGACACTTAAAATGTATAGTTTTGTAGAAGACCACTTGGCAAAGTGACTGGGGTAGGCTGAGAATTTGTTGCTACAGAATCCAGACCACAGCTGGGGAGGCCAGTGCTATGCAGGAGGGAGCTGAAGGGCTGCCGTCAGACTCTCCCCTGCCTGCACAGATCTGTCTGCTGCAGGCAGGGACACCACAGCCCCGTTTCTCTTCCTGGGGCTCTGCTGGTACCTTGGCTGTCCTCCTGTGTCTCTGTTAACATCACTTTCCTCTCCCCACCAGTAATCTATAAAACCAGCCTCCTGCACCTCCAGCCGCGGCAGATGACCATCTATCTCCCAGAGGTCCGGAAGATTTCCGTGGACTATGTTAATTTGCCTGTCTTCAACCCAAATGTTTTCAGTGAAGATGAAGATGATTTACCAGGTGTGTTCTTAATGGGTCATGGCAGGGGACAGGGTGGTAAGTAGTGGAGGATCACAGCATGTCAGGCTGTGCCTCCTGCCTTGCTCTGGAAAAGGGTGCGTGTGGTGGCATATCACAGGCAAAGGGTCATGCTGTCGCTGGTTTGGGGAGGAGAATGCTCATGTCCACAGAGCATTCTGCCTTCTTGTTTTATCTTCACGATGATCCTTAGTCATATGCCCAGGTAGAGAAGTTTATAGGACTGATCAGAACTCAGTAAAATCAGAACTGAAACCGGGTCCCATTGGCCCTGTGGTGCCCACAGAGCTCGGTGTCTCAAACCCACCTCATCTGTGGGACAGAAAACCTTTACGTTCAGACACCTGTCTCCCAGTGTATACCTGACATCTCCGTGTACAGAAGCCTGGTCTGAGTTAAAGGAAGAATCTGGTACAAGCTTTTAAAGTCCCAGTTTCCAAATTTTCAGGTATCTGTAGCATCTTAAGTGTTTTCTAGTAGGAGGGGGGATCCTATTTTGATTAATAGAGTAGAATGATTTCTAACTCATCTGTCAGTTATTTCTATGTAATTGTTCTCAAAAATGTCTACCCATAAATTTATAAATATGAAGACTCCTCTCCTTAGAACCAAGCAAGGTTCTGAAAGTCTCTGGTTTCTAAGCCAGAGGAGTCTCACATGGGCCAGGGACTTCTTGGATTTGGTGGTTCTGGAACAGAGGGGCTATGGTCCTCACCATGGGACAGGGAAGGACATGCATTCCAGCTTCAGGCTCTGGACTTGAGGGAGTTGTGTACCTTCTTCATGGGTTTTTACCTGTAAAATTATTTGTACGGTATGTTCTGACAGTTGCCGTCTTTGGTCCTCTGATGGTATACCTCTCCTCACAGGTGGAGTAGATGTTCTAGACTATCAGAGTCATAATGGGCAAGGTGTTACAACCACATAAACCTGCAGTTTGGTGAAGCCTCACAGACTTGAGCTTTACATGCCATTCTCCACAATTCCAGAATCTTGAATTTAGAAGGATCTTTTACACTTTCCTCATAACACCCTCCCTGTGTTCCCAGAATGTGACTAATACAGCGCTCCCTAAATGCTCAGCCTTTGCTGCTGCTGTTACTGCCTGTGCTTCCCAGTCAGAGGAGGGAGCATTTTGTCCCTGGGCTTGTGCTTAATGTCTCTGCTGGTGACAGAGAGACTCTTCTCTTTAGCATGGAAGACACCTGCCTTCAGTTCTCCATGCAGATGAGCGACCATTTGGAGAAGAGATCTGAACAGGAATAATAGAAAACTTGAGATAGGACCCAGACTCGTGCAGCTGAGAGACAGTGACATCTCACTAGAGGGTCCCAGGGAAGGGGTGAGGGAGTGGGGAAGTCTGTGACAGGCTCCAAGGGTGGGCTTACCTTTTGATGAAACTAGCTGCCTTCATTCAACAGTTCTGGTAAAAGGTCAGCCAGCCATTGCAATTAGCTAATTAAATCTTATTTCCTGCTCACATACTAGCTGCTACGTAGCACTTACAGGCCCAGATGAGCAAACTTGGCCAATGGCATTTTAAACGGGGCAGCATAAAACAGTGGCTCTGATCACCTGCGTGTGGTCTGTATATCACTGCTCAAATTCATACTTCATTTAATTCCCTATGTGTACAAATAGCATATATTTACAGGGTTTTACAGTGTGGCTGTACCTTATATACTGTTGGAAATGCTAAAACGGATAAGTTAAGAAATTATCCTTCCCTGATAATGCAGATTTGCTAGAGGTCTCTCTTCGTTGGATTCTCTACTACATTTTACATGATTCTATTTACAGAAACTGAATTAACATTGAAATTTCAGATACACATCTGCTGCATGGCCTTGCCAATCCGTAATTGTGGCTAAACATGCTCAGGAACCTAGGCATTAGGAGTGCTCAGTGGGGTCTCATACTATGCCATCACTCTCTTCCTGAATAAAAGAGTGGGCCATTTTATGAATACCATGAGTAAAATGTATCTTTAAACAGTTGAGTATTTAAAAATAAAATAGGGCTGCCTGGGTGGTGCAGTTGGTTAAGCATCCTACTCTTGATCTCAACTCAGGTCTTGATCTCAGGGTTGTGAGTTCGAGCCCAGCACTAGGCTGCACACTGGGCATGGGGCCTACTTTAAAAAAATTTTTTTTTGTTTTAAGTATTTGCCATGGTACCATTTAGGCACATGGTACCAAACTCAGAAGGTTCCAAAGTATATTCATGGAAAAGCTTTAGCAGTGCCCTTTAACCAGTGGACAACAAAGGCTACCCTGCAGAGCTCACCCAATTGCCCAAGTCCTTCCAGAAACCTTAGAGAAGCTGTGTATAACTTGTGTGAAAGATCTAGCTTTCCCTAAGCAAACACATCTCTGCCTGAAGCGGTTGCGTTCTGTATGCAAAAGGACTGGATGAGTTAAGGATGTATTATTACGTGTTCTGACCCAGTTTCATGGCAGTTTTGTAAGCAGTTCATTTTTCTCTTTTCCTTCCAGTGACAGGAGCATCTGGTGTGCCTGAGAACAACCCCCCGTGTACCGTGAACATCCCCATCGCACCCATCCACAGCTCGGCACAAGCTATGTCCCCCACACAGAGCATAGGATTGGTGCAGTCCCTGCTGGCCAATCAGAATGTGCAGCTGGACGTCCTGACCAATCAGACCACGGCAGTGGGGACATCTGAGCACGGAGGTGACAGTGCCACCCAATACCCAGTCTCCAACCGCTACTCCAGCCCTGGACAGGTGATCTTCGGAGGTGTGGAGATGGGCCGCATCGTCCCGAACCCGGCTCAGCTGTCCCTGCCACCGCCAGCGCAGGGGGCGATCCAGCTGTCGGTGATGGACCACGGAGACCGAGACCACGACCACCTGCAGAAGTCCGCCAAGGCCCTGAGGCCAGTGCCGCAGCTGGCCGCCGAGGGGGACGCGGTGGTGTTCAGTGCCCCGCAGGAGGTCCAGGTGGCGAAGATGAACCCGCCACCCCCCTACCCGGGAACCATCCCCGCCGCCCCCACCACGGCAGCGCCCCCGCCCCCGATTCCGCCCCCGCAGCCTCCGGTGGACACCTGCCTGAAAAAGGGCGATTTCTCGCTGTACCCCACGGCGGCACATTACCAGACGCCCCTGGGCTATGAGAGGATCACCACCTTTGACAGCAGCGGCAACGTGGAGGAGGTGTGCCGGCCTCGGACGCGGATGCTCTGCTCCCAGAACACGTACACCCTCCCCGGCCCGGGCAGCTCGGCCACCCTGAGGCTCACCGCCACCGAGAAAAAGGTCCCCCAGCCCTGCACCAGTGCTACCCTGAACCGCCTGACGGTCCCACGCTACTCCATCCCGACAGGAGACCCACCCCCGTACCCCGAAATCGCTGGCCCGCTAGTCCCGGGCCGGAGCGCGGCGCAGAGGCCCGACGGTCTCATCCACGCCACGCTGCGCAGGAACAACCGCGAGGTGGCGCTCAAGGCCACGCAGCTGGCCGAGCCCCCTCGGGCCCCGCCGCAGCACCCGCCCAAGCCCAAGGGCGCGGCGCAGTTCCCGGCCCGGCCCCCGCCCGCCCTGTACACCTGCAGCCAGTGCAGCGGCGGGGCCGTGGCGGGGCGGCCTGAGCCGGGCGCCGGAGGAGCACAGCCGGGCTCGGGCCTGGCCCACGCCGCCAGCACCTCGCCCTTGACCTCCCAGTCGTCCTACAGCCTCCTGAGCCCGCCGGACAGCGCCCGCGACCGCACCGACTACGTCAACTCGGCCTTCACCGAGGACGAGGCGCTGGCCCAGCACTGTCAGGTCGAGAAGCCCCTGCGGCACCCCATGCTGACTGAAGCTGCTGTGGCTGTCAAACGGCCACCCCCTTACCAGTGGGACCCTGTGCTGGGGGAGGACATTTGGGTTCCTCAGGAAAGGACAGCACAGACTGCAGTGCCCAATCCCCTGAAACTGCCCCCTCTGATAGTAGGTCAGAGCCAGCACCTGGACGTGTCCCGCGTGCCCTTCATCTCCCCGAAGTCTCCCTCCAGCCCTACTGCCACTTTCCAAACAGGCTATGGGATGGGAATGCCGTATCCTGGGGGCTATAACACGCCCCCTCTGCCGGGAGTGCAGACGCCCTGCGCCCCGAAAGATGCCCTGTCCCCGACACAGTTTGCACCCCAGGAGTCCGCAGTGGCGCTCCAGCCAGCCTACCCGCCCAGCCTCTCCTACTGCACCTTGCCCCCCATGTATCCGGGAAGCAGCACTTGCTCGAGTTTACAGCTGCCACCTATCGCCTTGCACCCGTGGAATTCCTACAGCCCCTGCCCGCCCGTGCAAAACCCCCAGGGCACTCTGCCCCCCAAGGCACACTTGGTGGTAGAGAAGCCCCTTGTGTCCCCACCGCCCACCGACCTCCAAAGCCACTTGGGTACAGAGGTGATGGTAGAGACCACAGACAACTTCCAAGAAGTCCTCTCCCTAACGGAAAGCCCGGTCCCGCAGCGGACAGAGAAGTTTGGGAAGAAAAACCGGAAGCGCCTGGACAGCCGAGCAGAGGAAGGAAGCGTTCAGGCCATCACGGAGGGCAAAGTGAAGAAGGAGGCAAGGACTTTGAGTGACTTCAATTCTCTGATCTCCAGCCCTCGCCTGGGGAGAGAGAAGAAGAAAGTGAAGAGTCAGAAAGACCAACTGAAGTCGAAGAAGTTGAATAAGACGAATGAATTCCAGGACAGCTCGGAGAGTGAGCCCGAGCTGTTCATCAGCGGGGATGAGCTGATGAACCAGAGCCAGGGCAGCAAGAAGGGCTGGAAGAGCAAGAGGAGCCTGCGGACGGCCGGCGAGCTCGAGGAGTTCAAGTGCCGGAAGGCCAGCGAGAAGGAAGACGGCCGGCTGGGCAGCCAGGGCTTTGTGTACGTCATGGCCAACAAGCAGCCTCTGTGGAACGAGGCCACGCAGGTGTACCAGCTGGACTTCGGGGGGCGCGTGACCCAGGAGTCGGCAAAGAACTTCCAGATCGAGCTGGAGGGGCGGCAGGTAAGGAAGCACATCCCTGGGCAGGGCCGGGGTCCCTGCTGTCCCATCCTGACTGGTCTCTGTGGGTTTTTAAAACACCTGGTGAAAACTACCAGCGCTTTGGCCTTCCAGGAGCCTAATGGGGATGATGGGAAACAACTGATCCCTCTTACGTGAGGCCGAACGTACGTGATCCGTGAGGAGAACCAGCAGCCCCCTGCCCGCCCCCCAGACCTGCTCTGCCAGAGATACGTTCTTCCACTTGGCTTTCTTCCTGGTATTTGGCACTGTATTTGTAAAGAACATGTTCCCATTTCTAGTCATTTTTTCAGTTTTTCACATCACGTGTTGACTTCTTCCTGAGGAATATGAGCGTTTACTTTCTTCACCCTACGTGGACTTCCCCCTTTCCTTAGTCTTTGGTTGTCTCATTATGCCAGTTTATGTGATTTATAGCTGAGCCACATATTATGGCTTAATTATATTTCCTTTTTTATTAAATAGGGTTTTTTTTACCTAGACCTAATCATTACCCAGTGTTTGTCTGCTTGCTTCTGTGTATTTATAGGATGTCGTTGCCCTGATTCTCTGCCAGAATGTAAAGCTCTTCTCAGTACAGCTAAACACACCAGGTGATTTTTTCAATTCCTCCTGCTCCCACCTGAAATGGTGGCTCTAACCCTGCTGCATAGCCGTCGTCGTTCTGGAACTACACTTCCTCGCCATCCCGGGAGTTCCCTTCACCTCACATACTTAAATCTCATTTTCATTAATTCACTCAAGTATTTATTGAGCACCTACTGTGTGCCTGGCAGTCCTCTGAGCCGGGAATCAGGAAATCTGTGGCCCACAGACCAACTGGACCTGCTGCCTCTTTTTATAAATAGTTTCATTGGAACACAGCTCTGCGCACCCACTTAAGTATTGTTCTTGTCTAATGCTGCGTCTGTCCACGACACAGAGTTCTGGCAAAGACCCTGTGACCTACAAAGCCTGAAATATTTATCATCAGCCCTTTGCCAGCATTGCTCTGTGCTGATACAGAGCAGTGAGGAAACTAGAGAAGGTCCCTGTCCTCTCGTGGAGTTTGCCAAAATGGAAGAAAGACCATAAACAAACAATATATATAAATTTATATAATATTTATAATTTATGTGTAGGATATAATACAATCTTTCTATAAATGTAACATAATATTTATATAAATATCCATATATGTACATAAAATGCTATGTAGTTGCGGCATGGTCACAGTAAGTACTGAAACGACAACGGAAAGCAAGCTCACGGGACAGAGCACTGTGGAAGGAGGAGACTAGGTTTTGCCCTCTCTGGATGGTGATGTTTGATAATTACAGTTGGTGTTTCTCTCAACCTTCCGTCATCCAGTAGATTCTTATTCATACTTTTTCTTTCTCCTTTCTGCTTCCTTGGTGGGGAAGCCACTTCATTTGACCAGTGAGCTTTCCACACTCTGAATTTTTGCTCATTATCTTCCCATTGCATGTTTACCATGTTCCCCCTTTATTTCCAACAAACCCGTAGTTAGCTCAGGAAGCTTGAGCAGAGCCACTCCAGACGACACAGCTGCCCCTTGGGCTGTGCCGTCTTCTTCCCTCAGGAGCCACACAGGTGTTTGTGCTGTTGCCCATCTTGTTTTCCTTTAACGTCTTCGCTTCTCTGCCCTCCCCCGCCCCCCCAGGTGATGCAGTTTGGAAGGATTGATGGCAATGCGTACATTCTGGACTTCCAGTACCCCTTCTCAGCTGTGCAGGCCTTTGCGGTTGCCCTGGCCAACGTGACTCAGCGCCTGAAGTGAAGAGGCTGGCGTGGGTTGGAAAGACAGGCAGAGGAGCCTTTTCAGAGAGGCCTGATCGGCGATGCTCGAGGAGTCCCACGGGACCCCGGGTGCCGGGGGACCAGAAGACAAGAGCAAAACTGGAAGAATCTGTCAGGCCCAGGAGAGGGGACTGACCTTTAATTGTTACTGTTTGTTTGGGCTTTTATAATCCTTTATTGGTTTTCTTTCTTCTTTCTTTTTAAACGAGAAGAGAAGACAGAAGGGTATTTGAAAGCAAAGGGTGCAAGGCACCTGCTGTTCTTTCTGGAAACATAGTTGCTTGGTAATGTCCTACTGTGTCTGCTTCTGTCAGCTGCCAGGACAAGGGGCCCTTCGGAAGGAAGGGGGACCACCTTCCCGCCTGCCGCTCTCTCAGCTAGGGAGTGTGCATTTTCATGCTCCACAACATCCAGCTTTATTACTCCTCCTCATCGTAACCACTAGTGTGAAAACAAAAGACTTTTAAAAAGAACAACCAAAAATCCTGAAGGTACAGGCTCTCTTAGGGGGACATTCGGTTCACACATATAATGTCACTCCCCCAAGGTGACTTGCTTAATGAAGGGTGGATGGCGTTCTGGCAAATGCTGTGTTTGACTCCTAGCAGTAGGCTGTGTCCAGCGGTGCTCTTCCCAGCTCTAAGTGCAGTACGCTCATGATGATGGAGGAGGAGGGGACGGCAGGTGAGGGGGAGCTTCTGCGCCTGGACGCCTGGTGGTCTATACGGTGGGACTTGGAGCAGTGCAAGGCTGTGCTCCTCTCTGCCCGATGTTTACGTTGAAGACTCCACCAGTTGTAGAACACGTCAGAATTCCGTAGGTTCAATAACGATCGTTCAGTGTGCTTGCCTTCGGGAGGAGGTAAGAGACAAAATGGAAAGATGTGACATATGGTGGGGAAGCGACTTGGTCCCCTAGTGCACTGGTAAGTCACTAGATACCCACTTGGCTGAAAAACAGCCCTCGTCCCCTCCCCCATTTTATTGTTCAATCTGGAAAATGTAGCAAAAGACCTTCTCTTTCCCAGTAGATAAGTGTTCCACACTTTCTCATCCTGAGTGCTGAGGATGCTCGTTGGAAGGCTCTCCTTTCCTCTTCTCAGCCACATTACAATTCACTTGACTAGAAATGTTTTCTAATAGTTTAGAAATGGAATAAAATGTTAAGCATTTGCCAGGGTATTAAAAGATAGAGATATAGTCATCTCTTTGGAAAAAGTAACTAGGAGGGAAAAAAGTTCTTTGTTAACTGTACAGTTTACTGAGGAGATAAACCACTGGGAACACATTATTAAAATCATAGCACTTAACAGAGCAGGCTCTCGCGCGCGCGCGCTCTCTCTCTCTCTCTCTCACACACACACACACACACACACACTCCCCTGCCTTCTCCTCCTCAGGGGACACTTGGGCAGCCTTCAGCCCTGCTGACAAACCAAGTTCATTGTTGTCTCACTCGTACCTGTGATGTTCAGGGCAGGAGCGCAAGGCTCTCGGTGTGGGTTTTGTTAGGAACAGACAAATGGAAGACACTATAGAAAAGTCTTTGAAAATATGTATTTTTACATTCCTTGTTTTGGTTTAAAACCTAGAAAAGAAACTGGCCCATTCCTTCCCCAGAGCAAGACGAAATCACTCACCATTTTCTCCAGACCGTGAAGGACGCAGATGAGGACATCTCCCAGCTAACATCAGAGTTTCCATCTCGTATTTTAAAATATTGAACCTGATTCTTTGTGGGTAAATTCTTCCAGAAAGAATTTAGCAATGTATTGAAAATTATTCTTTTATAGGGTTTTCTATAGCTTGGTAAGATGTTTCAGTGCTTATATTAGTTGTGCAATAATGGTTATGGCCTATTTCTAAAATAATTTAAATGCAGTGCCCCTGTTTTGTTGTCCAAGAGATAATTATTTATCTTACTTTAATAGTTTTCTTAGGAATTATTTTGTTACCATGTACTGGTGAGTTATGCCCATTTTATTTATTTAGAAAAATAGTATGTTTGTAATGAGTTATTTGGTAGCAGTATATTTTGCTGCAAGAAATAAAGAGGATATGATAGAAGGGTTTTTTTTTTTTTGCTGGACAATTTGTAACTTTTTCTAATTAGGGAAAAATATCCCATTCTTTAGAAGTATATTTTTTTTTTTTGCATCCTGTAGTATTGATTATATACAGAGAAGTAGATTTCTTTGAGATGACGTATCCTAAAATAATACTGTCGCTTCTTTTGAACGTTTTATTTTTAATTAAAAATAAAAGGTGCTATGAAATGAAAAGAGACTAATTAGAAGGAGAGTGGCAGAGGAAGACATCATGGTCAATAAGTGTCCATTTTCCAAATTCAGATTGTTTTTTTGAGATATAAAGACCAAGAAAAGATATATTTCAGAACTTTTCTTACTAAGAACAAATATAAGGGGAAGTCCTTGGAATAAAAACTGCAAATATATTTGTGAAGAGAAAGTGAATGTTTGTAGCAAGTAATTGAACTTTCTAAATTCTTGGCTCACTCCCCAAAAGGTCTCTTCCGCACGTGGAGACAGAGGCCTGGTCTTGGTGGTTGTGTGTACCCACGATTCAGTCCCTGAAGACGTAGTAGGTGCCTGGCTCTGTGGTCCGGCCCAGAGGAGGGGGCCCTGTCCTGCCCACCGCAGACGCCTGCGGCGCTGGAAAGGTGGCGTCTTGCAGCTTAATGGTGATGGCTTCACGGATTTTAAAAAGTGTTTTCATTCAGTCTTAATTAATGAAGTACTACTCAAGTCAGCGCTTTAAACGGCGGAAGTCTACACTCTTCATGGTTATTAATATAGCAATTTATGAATATTAAGATACCTCATTGAATCTCTAAATTTGAAAACATGAGCCCAGTCAGCTGCATAAAGAATCCATGCCTTTTCCGGGGAAGGAGTGTATTAACAGACATAAAAACCAATTTTAAATTTGTTTCTTCTCTAACCTCATCAAACCAAAGGCACAGATTTGGGTACAGTGTATCCACTGAATGTAGGTTCTTAGAAAAGCTGGGTGCCAAGGAAGCAGAAAAACGTGAAGGCTCTCATGGCAGCGTAAGTCAGCGTTTCACAGGATAGGCCTTCTCCCCCACGCCCGCTGCGCCCTGCGTGAGCGTCCGTGAGGACGTGCAAAACGTGGACGTTCACCGCGTAGTCCTCTTGACCCCAGGGTCAAGCCTGCTCTGCCACGGGGTTGGAGGATGATCTTGGGCCTCCATTTGTGCATCTATCAAATGAAAAGAATGACCTGGACAGAATTCCCAACTGTCCAGCTCTAACAGCCTGACGGCTCAAAACGTTATCGTTTCCTCATTCCACTTTACAAACTTGGAAGATATGTTTCAAATGTTTCTTTTTCTGGGGAAACATTTCTTTTCCGGCACTGACGAGCTATCTAGTGAATGTAAACCGGTGCATTTAAAATGACGCTTAGCAGGTTCACCTCTAGAAACAAATGCATTTGGAGTCACGTTCTTGTGAAATTACACCAAAGCTCCAGTTCCGGGTGAGACAGGAGCCCCCCGTGAGTGTGCCCTGCTCAGTGGGCGCCCTTGTGAACAGCCCTAAAATAAGTCACCACTTGCCCCCACAAAGCCATAGAGTGGGTTGAAAAAAGAACAAAGGAGTATCTGCCCAGGGTGGCTTGAGTTCTCGAGTGTGTTCAACAGTGTTACACTGTCTTCAGGTTGAAAAGGTTTTTTTGAAAGGACCCCATTGTGTCCCTGTGAGGGCCATCTATCCCTTGGCCAAGTCAATAGTTGTGAACAGAGTTAGCGAGACAAAGTGTGTCAAAAGTGTAGTTTGAGTTCCTGGGATTTTGTAACAGCACACAGCTCCGATCTCACCGTTTGTGTATTTTCTTAGCTCCGGCGATAAAACTCTGAAGGGTTGTGGCTTATTTTGTTTTCATTTCTTTGGCTTTGTGCAATTTCCTTGTAACTTGTACCGATATTTTCTGTTTACAAGTTCTTTTAAAGGGGAGGGGGAGGGTTCTAAGATCTTGTTGTTGTAGATAACTTTTTTTTCGTGTTGTAGAAAAGCATGGGTTATGCGTTTGACTGAAAAAGGCACTGTATTATTTACCAAAGGGGTATTGTTTTTGCATTTGTTTATAAATGCATTATTTTGGTACTGTAAATTTGGACATAATTTCTGAGTTTATTACTACTGGCATTTTCTTTTTCCTTTTTTTTAAACTGTAAGTGCACGATGCAGGTGCACAGGTCCCAGACCAAACCAGACCACCAGCATGTTCTTCTCCAAACCTTGGGACTAGCGCGCTGCTCCGTGCGTCTCGGTCCTTCCCGCGCTGGTTTATCTTCAGTTCCAGCGTCCTGCTTTCTTTCACTTGCCAGGCAAGACCTGCTGAGATTCTCTCTTGCATTCTACGAGCTCACCCTTATTTGCCTTTCTTCTTACGTATTTGTGTATTAGATTGTGTGGGAGGTATTCTAGAAGGTATTAATGGTTTGCATTCAAAATGACGTGGTTGGTCCAAATTATTTTCTGTCTTTATTACTGAGATGGGTTAATCTCCTTATTTTTTTCTCTTGATGATTTGAAGTTGTAAAAGTTGTCCAGCTATTGCTTAATAAAATTTTGCAGATCAAAAACAAAAATTACTTGTGTGCAGAATTCAGGTGTGGGTCTTGAATCCTCGGAGGAAAAAATCACTGCTCTCCACTGGCACGACCCACCATCTAGTTATTTCTCCCATCACTGGTCACTGCCAACGTTGAGTGGACACCCTGAGGTCCTTGTCATTGTTACTGTTTTTGAGAGGTCAGAGGCTGTGCTGTCTTTTTTTTTTTTTTATGTTTATTTAATTTGAGAGACAGAGGGCACAAGTGGAGAAGGAGTGGGGGAGGAGGGAGAGGGAGGATCCTCAGCAGGCTCCGCACCGTCAGCACAGAGCCCAACACAGGGCTCGAACTCACAAACCAGACGATGAGGTCACGACCTGAGCCAAGATCAAGAGTCTGATGCTTAACCGACCGAGCCTCCCAGGGGCCCTGCCGGGCTGTCTTCTTGATGAGTTGTTTTGTTTTCCTTGTTTTTTAAAGAGGCCTATTCAGGATGCATCCGTCCTAGGACTGTAAGATCAGAGATGTTAGATGCATGGACACGTGCTTTGTTACTTTGTAGGAAACCGTGAATCCAGTTCGTGAGCGTTCCTGAGGAGTCTTGCCGCACCTCCCTGCGCTGCCTTAGAGTGTCATCTGTGACCTCTCTAGGGAGGCGGGGACTAGGCCGAAGGATGCTCTTCTGTAAACACTGTAGTTCACGTGCACAGTCACAGAGCTACCCTTTTGGATTTTTTCAGAAACAAAAATAGATGTGATCGCTCAAGCTTTAGGAGACCACCGAAAACGACTGTCAAGTCTAACGAGTTCCAGTCATGCGTTAAGTCTTAAAATAATCGTGGGACAATAAACCTGTACTTTAAATCGTCGTGGTGATACAAGGCTAACTGACCTGAACTATGTCCAAGAATCAAAATATTTTACTGTGAAAGTTGGTGAGCTTCAAGTTAATATGCATTCTAGCTTCGTTACTTAAACCAGGTAGCAAAGCCTGATTGAAAACAAACCCCCTCTTTCCCTCCCCTCAAGAAAACAAGGGGCTAAACCCCGGGCAGCCAGGCTGTGTCTGGGTCTGTGCCAAGGACCCACGTGTAGGATCGCCCTCACCACCAGCCCCATGTCAGCCTTGGGGCCATTCGGTGCAAGTCAGTGTCTGTAGAGGTGGTTTATTTCTAGAGCCCTGCTAAGGAGGTGCAGCAAATCCTTTCAGCTTCTTTTGGAAAGGAGCCTCCTGTGTTTATCCTCGCGTTCGATATTCTCTTCCCGGCGTCGATGAAAGCAGAGGGGACCAGTCAAGCTCTCCTGCCCCAGTCCCAAAAACCCATTGCAGAGGAGAAATGACTGCTGCCTGCAGACTGCATCCCGCAGCTCCCAGAATGCACAGCTAAACCTCCCGATTCCATTGTAAAGCGGATAGCGGATATCTTCCTGTCAGAAGAAAACTGAAGCACTGGCAGGTTGAAAGGACTTCTGGATTCCTTGGGCAAAAACCAATTATGAGACAATCCAAGATTTCTGGGTCACGTTAACGAATAGCCCCAGTTTATTCCCACCTCCTCTGGCGTTCTGTGGTGATTTGCCTGTCATGAGCAGTGAGCTACTGACACTCCCTCTTCTCCTGCAAAAGGAGGCAGCGTCGTGGGCCGCCCTCACCCGTCGGGCGGCAAGTGCGTCCTCCCAGCGGCTGAGAGTGAGTGCTCGTTCCCGAGCTGTCGGTAAGTGGCACACGCGCAGCTCGCGGGCTCCGTCACTCACCCGGGCGTCACAAAGGAGCAGATCCTGGAACGCACTGCTCAATGCACTAAAGGATATGAAGCCGCCGTCCACGTGAAGAACAGGGTTGTTTCTTAAATCTGCTTCAAGTCCCTGCTGGGTTGATAGCTGCGAGCAAGAGAGGGAGCCCCGGCGCAGGGGCGGGACGCCAGCGGGAACGTGGGTGCCTCCCGCCTTGCCGCCCCTTCCGTCTACAGGAAGTGGACTCTGTGCTTTAGGTGACCTCAAAGCCACCGCTCTTGACACATCTCTCCAATGGGGACGAGGGACTCCGTGCAGTTTCCAGACTTGTTCCTAGTTTAGTGAATTTATGAAACCTCAGCCACGTCTCAGGGCAGTGTCCAAACACGCTGCAGAGCACTCTCTGTATGAAATACAGGCTCTTCCCCAAGTGATGGAATCAGCAATGCCCATATCCCATTTGCCACTTAGCCTCTGCTCTATTCCGGACGCTTCCGGAACCCAGTGTTTATGCAGCATTTTCTGTGCGTGCATGACTAGCTTCCTCACCCCCAAACTAGGTGGGGCAGCTTGGGTGAAAGCCTGGCCCCATAGCCGTATCTCCGACTCCTTATTAGGTGGCCTTCCCAGTCATGCCAGCCACTTTCCACCACCTTCAACCACAGCGGTGTGGAGGGAAACCCGTCTCTGTCTCCCCACCTTTCTCCAGAATAGAGGCTGACCGGTCCTCACA